GACATGATTTGACTATGTGGAGCTACCTCCATAGTTATAAGCAACATTGTAGACTTAAACATTTATGATAAAATGTGATAACGGCTTTTGAGAACATACAAGTGGAAAGTGAAGAGAAACACTCTATAATACTTCCCTTTTTAAAAATATTAATCTTACTGGCATGCTTTGATACACATAATGATCACATTCATCATAGGGAATTCCTGTACGTAATATATATTGATTCTTCTTTTTCCCATTCACCTCCCTCTTCAGTCCTTCTTACTCTCCTTATTTACAAAAACTTTGTTTCCATTTTTCCTTCTACTTTCGTTTTGTTTCCTTTTCCCTTTCTTCCTTTCCCCCCTCCCTTGTTCCCCTTCCCATTTGAACATTTTCTTCCTACTTCTCAGTGCCTTTTGTCTATTTTGGTTCTTATTTACCCTTTCAATTTCCTACACAAGAGAAACAATGTGGTATTTAAGCACGTGTGTCCAATTTATTTCACTTAAAAGTATGGTTCAAGGTACATCCATTTATTTAGAAATGTTTCAGGTTTACCCTTCTTTAGGGCAGAGTAGCACTCCATTGTCTGTAAAAACCACATTTTTACCCACTCATCCATTGATGGACACTTGGGTTGTTTCTAAGATGTAGCTATTACGAATAGTGCTGCTGTAGACACATATGTGCATATGTCACTGTGGAATGACCCTTCTAACTCTTTTGAGATCCCAAGAAGAGGAGTAGCCAGTTCAAATGGAACCTCTAGTTTTAGTTTTTTGAGAAATCTCCACACTGACTTCCACAGTGGTTGCACCAGTCTACACTCCCACCAGCAGCGGAGAAGGGCTCCTTTTTTCCCACAGCCCCTCCAGCGTTTGTTACTGATTTTTTTTCTTTCTTCAATCAGATTTTATTGGTACAGTTTAGATACACATAATGATCATGTGCATCATAAAGAATTTGTACCTGTGCATGATATAACTTGTTTTTCCATTCCCCTACTCTCCCTTAAATTCCTCCTCCCCTCCCCATTTACAAAAGCTTTGCTTCCATTTTTTCCTTCTTTTCTCACTTTTTAAAACTTGATTTCTTGATAATAGCTATTCTTTCTGGAGTGAGGTGGAATCTCAGTGTTGTTCTAATTTGCATCTCTCGAATGACCAGTGATGTTGAACATTTTTCATGTATTTATTGGCCATTTGACTTCTTTTTTTTGCCCTTTTTTTTCTTTTCTTTGTCTGAGATGGTCTCACTATGTAGTTCAGGCTGGCCTTCAACTCACTACAGAGCTCAAGCTGGCCTCAAACTCATGGCAATCCTCCTGCCTCAGCCTGCGAAGTGCTGAGATTATAGGCATGAGCCACCATGCCCTGCTGCTGTTTGTACTTCATCTGAGAGGTGTCTATTCATTTTTAGATTGGGTCTTTAAGTATCGGGGATCTGATTTGTTTTGAGTTCCTTATATATTCTAGATATCAGTTGTTTGTCTGAGGAGTAGGTGATAAAGATTTTTTCCCATTCTGTGGGTTGTTTCTTCACTCTGTGGCCAGCTTCCTTCCCTTTGAGACAGCGGAGAAGCGGATGAAGAAGCCTGGGAAGAACGTTTGAGGCTGGAGTCGTGTGTGAGGGCGAGCACCTTTGAGAAAGTTTATTGTGGCTGGGTCTTAGGGGCTTACAGGGGAGTTGTGATGAAACATGAGGCTGGAGAGGTAAGCAGGGCTTGGAGGGCATTAAAGCCAGTATGTGTTTGGGCCAGAAGACCTTTACTGCTGGGAGAAGTCTAGGTATTGTGTTGGGCATTTCTAATCCCAGCGCTTAGGAGGCTTTGGCAGGAAGATCTGGAGTTTGAGGCCGGTCTGGGCTACATAGAACCCATCTCAAAAAAACCAAAACAAGCAAACAAAAAAGAACGAGAAAAAAGAAATAGGTGGGACAACCCCCTGCACTTTTTTTTTTTTGAAGTGGGGATGGAATCCAAGACCTTTGCACTGAGCTACATCCCCAGCTCTTTTTTAAAAACTTTGAGCCAGGGTATTGCTGAGTCACTAAGTTCCCAGAGTGAACTCCAATTTGCAGCCTTCTTGCGTAAGCCTCCGAGAGTGCTGGGGTTACAGGCTTGTAACAGAATAATGGATTACAGGTGTGTGAAGCCATGCCCTTGGATATAAAGATGTAATCAGATTTTAGATCCCTTTGGGCCGGGGAGGGGGGACGGGAAGAACGGGGGGGGGGGTGAAGTTTGAAGCAGGGGACTAGTGTGGAGGCTGCTGTAATTATCATGACAATCATTCATAGCACCCTGACCCAAGGTGGCAGCCCTGGTAGTGGAAAGAAGGGGACAGAGCAAGTATGTTTCACAGATAGAATTGATAGTTTCCTATAGACCCAAGAGGGACAGGGATAGTGAAGTTTGCTATGAAGTTTCTGACTTGGGCAGTAGAGTGGAAAGCAAGGCCTTTAATTGAAGGAAAGTAAACTGGAAAAAACAAGTTTTGGGGCAAATACGATTACTTTTTGGAAGCGTATTTAGTTTTGTGGACATGGAGTTCAGCAGGGAACTAAGAGTTGGATTTTACAGACTTTGGAATCAGAACTATAAAGACCTGAGAGAACATACAGAAAAAAAGTTTCTTAAAATTTATATTTTGAGAGGAAGAGTTTTGTCACTATGTTAGACTGTACACTCTCTTTCAGGAAAGATGTGTTTTCTTTCTATTTTCTTTTGTTTTTTTAGGTTTTTTTTTTCTGGTACCAGGAATCGAACTCACAACCTCACGCTTGCCAGGCTGGTGCTGTTTCTCTGAGCTACATCCTCAGCCCATGTATTTTTCTTTCTAGAAAAATACACATACTGATAGCAATTTACGTAGAATTCCAGAGTTTACAAAAATGTACATCTGTGAACCTCAAGTTAGTGAAAGAAGGCGGCCCAGGGCAAAGCCTTAAAGAGCCTCAGCTTTTGTGGATGTAGTGTATGAAGATGTAGCGAAGAAGACATGGGATGAGTGTTCTGCCCTGTGTGAATGTGCTGCTCAGCAGACCCATTGGATGCATTTGATAATGATGTCACTAGGGCTTTGGTGGAGGATGTTAGCGACTGCGATGGATGGAGGAATTAGTGGGAGGTAAAGAAGTGGAGCTGGAAAGTACTGTGGACAGTACTTTAACATGTTTAATTATGTAAAGGAAGAGGTACCTGGAGGGAAGTTTGCATAGGACTTGAGGTTTAAATGCTCTCAAGGTGTTTAGAGGAAGAGACAAGGTAGAGGGGTATGTGGTGGCCCTCAAGGTCCCTTTCCATGCAGTCAGTGGGATGGGAGAGCAGAACACGGGTGGAAGGATAGTTGTAGACAGGAGAGCAGATGTCGTAAGTAGGAAAAAAATGAGTATGGAAACAGTTTGTGGCAAGAAGAGGAATTCTGTTTTCTATTTCTCTGAAGTTGGATGTGAAATCATTTCCTGTCATGCATGATATGATAGAAGTCGTTTAAAAACATCATTACTTCATTAATACTGAAAATTATAACTTGGATTTGCGTATGTGTTATATGTTTTTTTTTTTTAAGACAGGGTCTGACTATGCAGTTCAGGCTGGCTTTGAAATCATTATGTAGCCCAGGCTGGCCTTGAATTCACAGTGATCCTCCTCTCTTGCCTCATGCTGGGATTACAGGCATGGGCCACCATGCCTGGCTGTACTACTGATCTCGAATAGTCAGTTTATATGATGATAAAAATTTGAGGAGGAGTTCTTCTAAATCCAGTTTATGATTTGGTATTCTTTGTTGTGACCCTGGTTTTCGTGTTGAATCTTTTTGTGTTTAAAAACAGAAGTGTTTCTAAGACGTGGACTCAGTGGGCTCAGACTAAGCATAAGAAGTCAGCATCTTGTGCTTACTTAGTAATATATTCCTTTGTGGTGTCTTTGTCTTCTGAAGAATTTTTTATTTGAACTTCTAAAATGATTAATTATATCTAGGTTTATTCCCAAGTTTATATTAAATGAGTTTTGAATACACTACTCTCCAATAATGGTAACTAATCAGACCGTTAAAACTGAGAAATGGGTAGAAGTTAGGCAGATATTAATTTGTTATTCTATAGATTTAGTTATAAATAAATCTATAGATTTATAGATTTATTTATTTTTCACTTATCAAGGTTGAGGAAATTTATGATTCTATATAAGTCACAATTTTAGAAATGAAATATTTACATACTATAAAATGTATCCTTTTTAAATTTTTTTTAAATTTTTTTTTTCGGGACTGGGAACTGAACTCACGACCTTGCGCTTGCCAGGCAGGCACTGTGCTGCTGAGCTAAATCCCCAGCCCCTAAAATGTATCCTTTTAAAACAGACAGATTAGTGAATTTTTTTTTTTTTAACTATATTCACAGATTGTGTATACATCCGTGTAAGCAATAATTTAGTGCAAGGTAACTCAGATTTGGGATATCTAACTTTTTAAAGAACAAAGTGATAGATCCATTTTATCATTGAGCTTATGATTTAAGGGAAGGTAATATATCTCTCTGTGGCATTTAGATAGAGGACAGAATATTTTTTAAAAAAACTCATGTATATTGGGAAAGTTTTATCTTATTTTTGATCCTTTCCAGTATAAAATTATTTCATCCCTGAAATAGACAACCTACGTTTACATATCCTCTCCTCAGCACTATTTTTTTGTGCTGCTATTTTTTTGTCCTGGTTTCTCTTAGATCATGATGGTAGGTAGATAGGAATTGATTGGGTCCTGATTAGAATATGAGATTTGTACACTTTCTTGCTGTCAGCCATTACTAGTAATCATTGCTAAAGTTGCCACCATTGATGTTCAGCTGTCTTTTGTTTGCTGGTTGGTCTGTAGTCAAAGTTCATGATTATATTTCGTATCTTGCTATATAGTTAGGACTTAATTATCCATGCTGTTTTCAGTGGTTTAAAATGAAGCAATGACATCTTGCCATTTTATTTTAATTTTTCCCATTTATTTTTTGTTTTACAGTACTCTGTGCAAAAAACTTGGTGAAAAAGGATTTTTTCCGTAAGTAAATTAACTTTAAATATAAATCGTTTATCCTGTGTAGATTTTTTTGGACATTTTCAGACTTGTCAGGTTTAGGGATTTCTAAATTCAGAAATATACTCTTGTTATTTTATGAATGCTTTGGCTCAGGTCCTTTTGACATATTTTTCTGGGGAATTTGATGTTTTTTAGCTTTAGCCTCTTTCCCTGTATGTATCCCTCCTACATGTTTACATAAATATATGTGTATGCAGGTGTGTAAGTGCAGATACATGTAATGCATGTAGAAGTTGTACATACTGTTAGATTTCTAGAAAAGGTTTAAGAAAATATTTTGCAAATACCACATTTTAAACATTTTTTAGGAAATTTTACCTTTATATTGAAGATTCATTGGAAGGTAGAAAAGTCACTGAGGTTGCTTGGAATTTGCGTACTTGTAGGAAAGAAATGTCTGCCACAGTTGATCACAAATGGCACTTGTATCTCAAATTCCAGAGCAGATGCTTCATTATCTACAGCCTGTCGGTTGTGAAAATTTTTGTGGCTTTATTTAGGCTTAAATTTTGAGAGAAACAGTTGGGAAGTACCATGCATGTTGAAAATCTTAACTTTAATACTTTCGAATAGCTTTAAGTTATTAAAAATTACATAATTTTTATTAAAAACTTATCAGCCAACAAAATTTCATATGTAAAATATTTACAATTAGAGATTATTTTAAAATTCAAGTCCCACCATGCAGCAAAAATACTGCTGCTTTCTGGTTAAATTTGACAATGTTTAAGGATTTGATTAAAAAAAATAATAAGCTCTTGATGTATTTTAAAATCATACTTAATTCATCCTTTTTGAAATTTTATTACTTCCCATCTTCCTGAACTAGAACCTGAATTAAAGTTTAAAAAATAACAATCTTACAAAATTATAAATTGTTAGGTTATTTTTGTGCTTATGTGGCAAAACTTTTAAATAGGATAATTTGAAACATAGGAAGAAAATTGCAAGCATTCTTCAGTGTGTTTACTCTGTGCCCTCTCCCCACTAATATGACACAAGTATGTCATCACGGAAGGAGAAAACCCAAAGCCGGGCATGGTAGTCCACACCTGTGATCCCAGCACTTAGGAGGCTGAGGCAAGAGGATTGTTAAGAATTCGAGGCCAGTGAGGTCAGTGTGGGCTACAAAGTGAGCTCAAGGCCAGCCTGAACTTCATAGCGAGACCCTGTCTCAAAAGACCAAAAAAAAAAAGGGGGAAGGAGAGAGCCCAGTGGCCAAAGAGCTCCCCATCTCTCCTTGCTGCCACTAATTGATGTTACCTTTCATGTGCTGCCCAATTACCCAGTCACTAATAACCAAGGTGTACTTTTTCCCCATCTTTTTTAAGGTTCATCTGTGGTTGGATTTATCCTAGTGGAACTGTAAATTGACATATAAGCTTAGATAGGCTGGTGACAAGGAGAAAAGGGAGAGGAGTGAGTAGTTTAACAGCTGCTTTGGTATCTTCCAAGACATCTGCTGTTTTTTTTTTGAAGATAAGATCTTCAGCTTTGTCCCTCAACCTTCTTTGGCTAATTCTTTTCCTTTCTCTAGAGTGCCAAGACACAGCTTCTCCAATAAAATGTCCAAATATTCTTGTCATAGTTTTCCTAGGAAATCTAGAGGAATCTTACATTAATTCTTTGTAAGCCGCTGTCTTTTTCTGTCCTTAATTGTAGGTGAAAGAAGGAAATCTTTTTCAATTTTTCATTGGTGTACACAATAAAAATTGATAAAAAATGTTAGGGATATAAGTGTACATTAGGGATAAGAAGGTTAGGGAAAATTGTAATTATCTTTAAAACTTAGAATGGCAGGTGACTGCTGGCCAGGAAGGGAAACAGCAAAGCCAGTCCTCAGGCATTCAGCCAGGGATGGAAGTATGTCGCAGGTTCACATCAGCCACTGTTCCAAATCCTTGTTGTAGTAGATTCACATCTGTACTTCCAGATGTTTTGGACCTAATTGTAAGTTGAGATTTGCCACACTAATTCGGAGGACTGTTATAGTTTCTATGCTTTAAATTTGAGTATGTGTTTATTGATCAGAATACAGTTATAAGATATTGTTAACTTTTTACTTGTGATTTAGTTTAAATTATGTTAAATGAAAAAAGTAAATTTTAATGTGGAACATTACTATAGGAGGATGAAATAGATATATATTTACAGGAAAAAATTCTGCCATATGTTGTCTTTTGTAGGGTAATTTATATGTGAGATAATAACTGTTCCAGGACATTACCCTTGCTGAGGAAAGTTTTATTGACTTATTTTGAAACTATTTTCAAGCCTCCTAGCTTTAAAAAACAAGTCACTCCTTCCCTTCCCCCAAATTTCAGCAGGGAAACGGTCAATTGTGAAGTAGTAGGTTAAAAATTTTATAGTGAGCATCCAACATGTAGATTCTACCACTAATTTTTATTACATACATTTATTCATTCATTATCTGTGTTTTGTGTAAAGACTGTTTTCATTAGTATCAGATTTTTTTTGTTCTTTAATTTAACATTAAAAAGAAAAGATTTATGGCTAGGTGTGGTGGTGCATGCCTGTAATCCCAGCACTGTGGAAGTCTGAGGCAGCAGGATTGCAACTTTGAGCTTACTACGCAATTAGTGACTAAGGGAGAGTCTGTCTCAAAAAGTTAAGAAAGGGCTAGGGTATATCTCGATGTGAAGGCTTTGAGTTTGGTCCCCAAACCTCTCTCCTCCCCTGCACAAAGATTTAAGACAGTGCATTAAAGTATTTTATAGAGGCTAGGTCAGTCACTCAGAAAGCTATGTAGGTCAGATTAATCTTTTTCATCATCCAATCCAAAATAAAGCTTTATTTTCTTTGGAAAATAACTCAGTCTTAAGTTAAAATTTTTATTTTGGTATTGCTTGTAACTAACTACATTTGTATAATAAGGAGGTCCTTGAGCTGAGATATTTGATCTGACTTGTAAGTGATGGGAAGAATTGAGAAATTTTTAAGATTAGAAAACACTTTAGCCACTTTATATTTACCAGTAGAGGTCTCACTAGTTGTAGAAAACTTGGTAGTTTTTCACTTTAGAGTAATTTGGATCTTAAATTTTTTGTAGACTAGCATGATCAGTTTAAGTTGCAACCCGGGCATTTTTTTTTTGTTAAAGATACAGAGATTATATTTTGGTTTTTGTATCACTTAACAGAAGAAAAATAGGAAACGGGGACTTAGACTTTCATAATTTATTAAGGATTTGGAAAACACACCTGGAGGTTTGTATGAAAAGTTTTTCTTAAGCCTTTATTGTTTTCTTCCTTGCAATAATGGGGATTAACCCCAAGGCCTTTGTACCACACCATGTCCCCAGCATTTTTTTTTTTTTTTTTTTTTTGAGACCAAGACTAAGTTGCCCTGAGTGGCTCGAACTTGTGATCCTCCTGTCTCAAGTCTCCCCCAGTACTGGGGTTGAAGGTTTGCACCACAATACCTGGATAATCCTTAGTTCTTTAACTAGTTGAATAATACCCAAAGGAAAAGCTAGAAATGTGGTTTTTGTTTTTGCTTTATACACACATTTATATGTTAATTTATTTAGATAGTAAAATCAAGAGAACAATACACACTGGATTCTTCTCAGAAGAAAATACTTTCAGTGTTATTAAAGGAAGAGGTAAAAAACCTTTCAGCACATTTACAGATTCGTAGGAGTTATTGAAATAATATGAATAGCACTAAACTTCAAGAACAGTACAGTTATGGATTTGATACCCTAACTTACTGATTTTTAAAATTTATTAATCAAAGTTTGGTCTTTCCTTAATTTAGTTGAAGAATCACATAACTGAAGAACTGAACAGGCAATTTCTGGATGTTCTTGAATCTTGGAAAATTAGCATCTTGATTTCTAGCATCTAAATTGTCATTTTTGTTTCTTTAGTGTTTTTAGTCCCACCTTCTCCTGACTTTCTTACATTTTGTCAGAAGAACCATTGTTACAGTGACACACGTCTGTAATTCCAGCACTTGGGAGGCTGAGGCAAGAGGATTGCTACTAGTTCAAGGCCAGCCTGGACATCTTAGTGAGTTCATGGCCAGCCTGAATTATATAGAGAGGCCTTGTCTCAAAAAGTAAAAAAGGACCACTATTGCTTTGGCCAGGAAAAAAACTATTGTGTCATCTTTGACACTGGTTTCTTATTAGTTTTCATTAAACCTTTCAGGGTGGCTCTCCTGTCATTTCATTTCCCTTTTCATGTGACTTCCCCACCCTACTCTTGGATTATGTCTTTGTTACATTTCTCATTGCTGAGACAAAATACCTCACACCCAAAGGTAAAGGAGGAAAGGTTTATTTAGTTCACAGTTTGTAGAGGTTTCCATCCACAGCTGGCTGATGGCCTCAAGGCAGGGGTGGCATGGCAGAGGGGTATCACAGAGGAGAAACAGTGCAGGGCGGGCAGAAGGCAGGCAGCAAGCTACAAGTGACAGGTGACAGGTTACCACACTAACCCTCTTTTGTCCTTTATATTTTATCAAGGTTACCCACCCTTGGGGCAGGTGCACTCACACCAGGGTGGGGCATCCTTAATCCTAGCCAGAACTATGCCATCCGTTCAGCAGACTGATTAGTAATCACACACCCGTAATCCCAGCATCATATGCTCTAGATCCAGCCACCTCTGGAAAAGCCCCGCCTATGACCACTTGAGGCTTTGAGGGGGGACATCCAGAGTCAAGACATAACAGTAATAGTTTTATAGTGTTCTCCATGCTAGTAGCTTTTCCTTCTCCCAGTCTACCCTAAATGCTACTAACGGCTATAAATGTAGCTCAAGAACCTGTAACGGCTCCCTGAGATTTACCTCCATCATTCCAAACCTATTTTCTGAACTTATAAGCTTCTCTTATTGGATCAGTCCTATCTCTCTAGCAGTATTTAAATCTGTACCTTATCACAGACAGTTTGGTTAGTTTCTTGAGTGCCCTTCAAATATTATCCTGCTCTCCTTGGCACTTTTCTTGTTGCTAGGGAAGTCTGTCTTTACCTGTTCGTCCTTTAAACCCCAGCTGAATCCCATCATGCCTTGTTTTCCTTACAGTTCAAAATGTTCTTGTGGTTTTCTTAGTTCATATATTTGCTGTTGGACTACATAATATGTAAGTGGGAGGTATACAGCATAATTGTTGAGAACATGAAGTCTAGAGCTAGCCAGCATGTGTTTGAGTTTAAAATCTAAACCTGAGATTTAGTAAGTGGCTTTGCCACTTACTAGTGTGTGACCTTAGGCTAATTAACTCTTTTGTAGATCAGTTTCCTTAGTAAAATCGGGCTATGCCTATTTTAATGCCACCTCATAGGGTTACTGTGAGGATTAAGGACATATGTAAAGCATGTGGAGTGGTACTTTACACAGTGTTTTACATGTTTGCTATTTCAATCAGTGCAGCCAACCATTGTTTATTCTCAGCCTCCCAACCCCCCGTATAATCTCCCCAACTACATAGTGTCTTAGTGACTTCCCTTGTCACTGAGACAAAATACCCAACATCTGCAACTTAGAGGAGAGTGCTATTTTGGCTCACAGTTACAGTCCCTGACCCCCTGGCTCTAAGGCAGAAATGGTATAGTGAAAGTTCTGGCACAAGAAAGCTGTGCATGTCATGGTGACCAAGAAGGAGAGAGAGAAAAGGGAGGAACCAAGGAATGAGATACGCCCTTCCAGGTCATCACCCCATGACTGCCGGGTCCCACCTCCTAACAGCAAGTCACCCGTGCATGCATCAGTGGTCTGATCCACTCAGGAGTGCAGTGCCTCCATGACCCAGTCGCTTTCCAAACACATGAAGCTTTTGAGCAACAACCCAGATCTCAGCCAGAACAAGCAGTAGCTCTTTTGTGGCACAGTATTACAGTTTTGGTTCAGTCTCTCATCACTTGTGCAGGTTGCTCAGAAAAACTTGTTGGCTCATTTGATGTCTCTGTAGCCCATGTTTCTGTTGTTGTTGCTGTTACTTTTAAATTTTTGTTTTTAGTAGTATATGTTTATAGTACATAATGGTTATATTCATCATGGGGAGTTGGTACATATGCATAACACATAGTCCACATGTCTATTTGAAAACCTAATTTAATAAACTCTTTAGAAAGCTGAATGTGGTAGTGCATGCTTGTAATCCCAGCATTTGAGAGGCTGAGGCAAACAATCGCCAAGAATTTGAGGTCATCCTGGATTCTGTAGTGAATCCAAGGCCAGCTGTAACTACAGTGAGACCCTATCCCGGGGGAAAAAAAAAACAAGCAAAAACAAGCAAACAAATCTTTCTATAAATGAGCTACTAAGGGAGCCATTTTGGAAGAGAGAGCCATGAATGTTGTGTTTATCTTTCTGAGGTCATAGGTGTGGTAACAATCCTTAAAAACTTCTACAGTATGAAGTTACCTTCAAACTGAGAATATTTTGAGGCAGGAAAAACAGCAACAATACTCTTCTGGTACGTAATGTGAAGGTAATTTTTTCTCTTTCTTTTTCTTTTGTTTTTTGAGACAGGGTCTCGCTGTGTAGTTCAGGCTGGCCTGGACTCACTGTGTAGCCCACACTGGCCTCAAACTCACAGTGACCCTCCCAAGCTGGGATTACAGGCATGCATGTGGAGGTAACTTTGATATTTGGTTTAAAATAGACCACTTTTATTTATACTTAAAAGCTCAGCTTTTTAAAAAGAAGTAAAGAATGGAATAATTTTTGTAGCAAATGGTAATCTTTATGCAATTTATCTGTATGTGAGAATATTCCTTAATTAAAAAAGAAAATCTCTTTATTTCACAGGACTTCCTGATCCGTTTGCTAAGGTGGTAGTTGATGGATCTGGACAATGCCATTCTACAGATACTGTGAAGAATACACTCGATCCAAAATGGAATCAGCATTATGACCTGTAGGTTTAAATGATTAATTTGAGATCAAACACAGTTAATATTATTTGATATAATCTGTAAAAAGAATCTCAGAAAATTATTTGAGTTTTATCTGTGGTATAATTTGGTCTTCACAGAAGGGACGCAAAACCCAGTGGAAAGGTGTTTTGGTGTATTGATCCCTGGGTTTGAAGATGGTTCTAAGAACAAAATTAAACTGGGTCACAATAGAGAGCAGCCCTCCCTCTCCGGTGCAATAAAGGTTAATTCACTTTAGGTCAGTTACTGGCATAAAACTCAGAATTCCTTCTGTGTGGATGGTTTTCTCTTTATATTTTAATCATAGTAGTATATGACTTCTTTAACAGGTTTGTTCGTTTATTCAGGTATTTCTTTGTTTATAGATAGCTTGCTTATTTTATATCACCGCAATCATTTGTTGTTTCTAGTTTTAGATATTTTAAAATTTCCTACCTGAGAAGATGATGCAGCTTTTAAAATTAGTACCTCTACCCACCCCTGCCCCAGAACGCTCACTCCTGTGCCCCTTCTTTTTCTCCCAGCCCTTCAGTATAAATGAACTTTTTTAGTTAAATCTTTACTCCATGTTTATATGTTTTTGTTTTGTTTTTTTGGGTTTTTCTCCGGTACCGGGAACCGAACTCACGGCCTTGCACTTGCCAGGCAGGTGCTTTTGCCGCTGAGCTAAGTCCCCAGCCCCCACTCCATGTTTATATGATTATGATTATGAAAATATTCAGAGATAGATTGATTACATGGTTCCCAGGAACCACTTTTTCTTTCTCGATAACTGTTGTTTCTCAAGTTGTACCATTGTTTGGTTTATGCCATTTGTTTGGTTTTCTGTTCATCTCATTAATTCCCACCTCTCTTATGGAGCCATGTGTTCAGTTTTGTCAGGTATTCCATTGGCTTTTTCTTCTTGCAGACATCCCTCCTGAAGTCTGTTTTCTTACTTCAGTTTGGGCCGGGTGGTTCTCTCATGACCTGCTTTGTAGTCTCCCTGGGACTTGCCTTTATCATTAGGTTAGGAACTTCCTTTGCTTCTCAGTAACAACTATTACTACTTCTGCTGCTGCTGGTTTTTTTTTTCTGTGAAGTTTTATCTTCCATTGTCATTTTGAGAAAGTAGAAAGATGGAAAATATTTTTTGAGGTCTTATCTGAAAATATATTTTATATTCTTACTTGACAGATAGTTTGAATAGAGACTTTAAGATGAAACATCACTTTCTTCCCAAGTTTTAAATACATTGCTTTATTATCTTCTAGGTTTACATAAGCATCAGTAGAAATACAAGCTGGGAGTGTTGGCACATGCCTGTAATTCCTACACTCCAAGAGGCTTAGGGAGGCAGGAAGATCTAAAGTTTCAGCCCGGCAGCTTAGTAACTTAGTGGGACTGTGTCTGAAAATAAAAGATACAAGAGGCTAGAATGTAGTTCAGTATGGAGGCCCTGGATTCAATCCCTAGTACTGAAAAAAAAAAAAAAAATCAGAGCTATAAGTTGGAGCATATCTTTAATTTTAAAATTTTTAGTTGCCACATTTTAAAAACATAAAAAAGAAACAGGTGAAATTAAGCATAATTTAATTTAGTATATCTAAAATATTGTCATTTCAGCATGTAACTGAAATAAAATACTGGATTCTTTCATCATATACTAAGTCTTGGAAACCAGGGTTATTTTATACTTCGCTTACCTCCATCTGGACTAGCCACATTGGAAATACTTAATAGTTTTGTGTGGCTGATGGCTGCCATTCTGGACAGTGCAGATTTACAGTGTTGCTGGTGGCAGTTGTGATCTTCCACGATTGTTTTCCAGATAGAACATTTTAGGGTATTCTCTCTATCCCTCTGTTGCTAAATTTTGGTTATTTTTCTTTTAAAAATTATAGCCATCCTAATAGTTATGAATTGGTGCCTCATTGTGGTTTTGATTTATATTACTCTAATAACTAATGATGTTGAACATTTTTTCATGTGCTTGTTAGGTTTTATTTTATAGTTAATATTAATTGGACTTTTTTTCTCTTGTTTCCAAAGTGGTAGAGAAACGATCAGGGAAATACTCTGGATCATTTTATAAAATCTTCACTTCAAATTGACTAAAGCTACAAAATGTAATAATTATATTTTAGCCAGAAATTTTGAATGTGTTTATTTATTTATTTATTTACTTATTATTTATTTATTTTGAGGAAGGGTTTCACTGTGTAGTTTTGGCCAGCCTTGAACTCACTATGTAGCCCAGGCCGACCTTGTACTTATGGCAATCCTCCTGCCTCAGCTTCCCGAGTGCTGGGATCGTAGACATTTGGCCCCTCACCTGGCTACATATGTGTCGTATTTTTTTCTATATGATAATACTATATTTTCATGTAGAGGTAGCCCTTATGATGCAATATCCTGAAGCTTGTTTATAAATCATATTTCCAAAGAAGTTGAAGTTTTTAATAAAACCTAACTAGAGCTCTCTGTTTAACTTTCAATTTTAAAAGGATTGTACCTTTTTCTTTTATGTTGGGATGCGTGTTACGTTACATGAAGTTTCCTTAAAAAGAGAGGAGATACTTTTCTAGGTGTAAGAAATGTTATTTTTGATTAATTCCTAACCTTAGGGTATTTGTACAGAATGTTTGTGACATGCACACTTAAGTGCTACAACACAGTTAATTTCTAGTAATTCATGAATTATTTTTCAGAAGGTCTACAATCAGCAGATGTTTAGTGCAGTTTGAGATAGAGCTTTCCAACATCAGAAGTCTGCTGGTGCGCTACAGTACACAGAGGGAGTTGTTTGAGCCCGTGGTGGTCTGCCATGAAGCCTGGAGAGTCAGTATTTCAGTGTATCTACAAACCAGGCATATTAGTTGGGAAACGATGTAATGTGATTTACAGATACCACTCATTTAATGACTGTTTGGATTTACGACCAAGGTGTGCAGTTCAGACTTAGGACCCACCAGTTGGTCTTATGACCCTTCTTTTTTCTTTCCTGTATAGTTCTGTACATCTTATTCATAGAGCTTCAAGGTCTTTTTTGTACAGTATGCCTTATTTATACACTACTGTAATTTTTGCTGATTGTACTGTATAGTACTGTAGTTTTCTGTCATGTTCCACATAACAGTCCTGCATGTAAGTGTCACACAGATTGAAAGTAAATGTCATCAAGTTGGCGTTTCCTTTGACCATTTCTTTGTTCCCAGTATTGCAGTATTCATATTATGTACAGTTCCTCATTCAGTGACCAATGCGTTTAACGACTTAGCAGCAGAACCACAACTCAGTTATTAAATGAGGAGTGTCTGTTTATTCTTTTCTGATGTTTGGTTTGGAGTGGTCTGCCTGTTTAATACTTGATACTCGTTCTGGAATTAATAGCATGCAGTAGTTACATACGAAGATACGTCTGGTAGGTGTAATTTAAAATTGGTGTATATATTCTGAATGATACTTTAATTCAGATCTTTTCATTGGTAAGCAACAGAGATCAGATTCAAATAGGCTTAATTTAACAAAAGGAATGTATCATCTCACATAAATAAAAGCTCATAGGTAGCCATTCTTTAGATACAGATGGATTCAGGGACTCTTGTGCCCCTTCCATGATCCTTACTTAAAAGTTTTAATCTTCACTTAAGTGGCTTAGGCTTTTATTTGTACTTGGTAAATTTTTCCAATATTTCTCTTTTGTTGAATGATACTTTTAAGATCAAGGTTGCTGGACCAAAAATTTGACCTCTTAGAGTCATTTGAATGGAGTTAGGTTCCACTGACACAGTCACGTTACGTATGTGTACCCAAGGGTTGGTGCCGTGTTAACAGCTGGCAGGCGTGTGCACAGACAAGTACAGTAACGCTTTCCCCTGCTCCGCTTGTCTGCAGGCAGTGAAGTGAGATCTCCAAGCGTCCTGCTCGCTCAAGGCCTGCATACAGGAAAGAAGCAGGGGAAAAGCGTTACAAACAGCTTTTGTTCTCCAGCATTAAAAAATGTAACAGGTAGGTCAGATTTTTGGTCTGTCAGCCTTGACAACGCCCCTTGCAAGTGAACTAAGTCATCTCTGAAGTAGAGGTCGTGTCATTGAAGTGTACTTAAATTGTGACCATAATAAAAGTTCTTTTAGGGTTTTTGTTCTTGAAAAGAGTAATCATTATAAACTCCCTTAGTGCTACTAGATACTAGCTACAGAAGAAACTTTTTTACTAACAAGAATTTTTGCCCAGCCTGCGATATTAAAAAGTCATTTTTAGGTATTTTAAAACTTCCAAAAATTTAAGTTTAGTCATGTGGATTGACTAAATTCAAAGTATATTTTGCACTTTAGAATATATAAAAAGAGAAAAGTTTTAGACTACTTTATGGAGTTATTCATGTAGCTGTTTTGGTTTTTAGGTATATTGGAAAGTCTGATTCAGTCACAATCAGTGTGTGGAATCACAAGAAGATCCATAAAAAACAAGGCGCTGGATTTCTTGGTTGTGTTCGTCTTCTTTCCAACGCCATCAACCGCCTCAAAGACACTGGTTGTGAGTAGATACTAGAGCTTTTGATACTAAAAAAAATAAAAATATATTCTCATTTTTTAATGTTATTATCATGTTATTTAATTGTTCTTATGATTTTTATTATATGTAGGGATCTAGAAACTTCCTATATATGTCTGAAATATTGGTAAAATTCCTGGTCTGTATTTATTTTGTACATATTTTTGTTTTGAAACAGGGTCTTGCTAGGCAGTCCAGGCTGGCCTTACACTCACTATGTAGTCGAGGCTGGCCTCAAACTCACAGGGATCCTCCTTTCTCATCCTCCTGAGTGCTGGCTTACAGGCATGTGCTACTATGCCTGCCAATTTTGTACACCTTTAAAATGTGTAACATTTTCAGTATGTGGAGCTAGAGCTGATCAGAGCTTATACCTAGCTTTTAGTGAATTAATAAATATTACGAAGTGTTTGATACCCAGAAGGTTGAGAAGAAAGGTGTCCAAGTAAACATGTCTTTTAAAATTTCTTAGTACCATTCTCTGGTTTTGATGGATTTGTGAGATGGCAGTAAATTTTTATTTAGGTGATTGGAATATTGAAGGTGTCAGTTAAAGGAGAATTATTAGTGGATAAGAATATTAAAAAACTGCTGTGACAAAATTAAAAATTGATTGTAGGATAGTTATATTAACTACTAAATATAGCTCACTTTATCACTGACCTGGGCCTTTACTAAGATCAAGATATTCAAAATGATTTCCACAACGGATTGACAAATTGACTTAACATTTATGTAACTTAGGTAACGTAGTGGCAGAGTCCTTTTGGGTGTCTCTCCACTGAAACATACATAGATGGAAAATTTTTTTGCAACAGATTTTTTGTTACTGTTGTTTCTATAGAATTTTTAATATAAGAAACATTGTTAGTCATTGTCATGGAATTTTAGCCCAGATGCCTTTGCTAATAATCAGGCTCATATAATTTAGCTAAGGAATTTAAGTAAAAAACAGAGTAAATTTAGCATTGAATGCTAGATATATTGAGATGGTTCCTTTTAATGTGGTATGATACCACAACCTAGATATATAAATATTGACCTGTTATATAAAAGGGAGAGAACTGAACTAGAAATTCTCAGACAAATTTAAGGCTATCTGAGAAATTCTTATATTTGTGGGTTAACAGGGTGATGACCCAACAAGAGAGGGATATTGGGATTGGAAAAGACTTGCATATAAACCATACTGTTTTGTTACCCAGTCTAGCAGGCAAACTTAAAATTTATAGATGAAATGTCTGAAGTTACAGTGTTCTGGCCTCAGTTTTCCCAACATTTATTGAACTCTAAACATCCCAGGTACTGTTCTAAACCTTGGTGACAAAAGGAAAAATGGCATGAGTCCTATTGTCTGAGAAGCGGGGGCAAAAGCCTTCTAGCAAAAGGAGCGTGCCAAATTGGAGAAACTGCAATAGCAGGTGAAGAACATGCTTTGCAGAAGCTCTCTGTTTAGCTAACTCAGTGACATGCATTTATTTTGCAGAGGGGAAATTGTATTTTTAGCTGTTTGCTCAGGGACTAGAGTCTGGGAACACAGATTTTTCTTTCTGCTCCATATATTTGTTTCCTTGCATTAATTTACTTGACCTTTTTGATGTTTAGTAATATTGATCCAATATTTATTGAGCACCTGATGCAGTGTTCTGCCGGATTGGAGAATACTAAGTCTAAGATGGTCTCCTTGTTTTATCGATTCATAATTAAGACAGGTGGGATACACTTGTAAAAGAATTCAGCTAAGCAGAACCAACATGCTATGGGTAACATTATTCCTTTCTATACCTTTGAGGGCCAAGGCAGTGTTATGTTTACTGATGAAGCATCTGGAAGAATAATTGAATTGTGCCATGTGTGGTGGCATATGGCTGTAATCCCAGCTGCTTGGAAGGCTGAAACAGGATTGAAAGTTCAAGGCAGCCAACACAACTTAGTGACATTTTGTCTCTAAATAAATAAATAAAAAGGGCTGGGGATGCAGCTCAGCGCTAAAGTAGTTGCCAGACATCCACAAGGTTCTGGCTTCAATTTCCAATACCACCACCACCAAAAGAAGTTTCCCCTATGGGATTAATGGATGAATTAATTCAAACCCGGATTTTAGTTTTTTTCTTAAGATTTATTGTGTGTGTAGGGGGGGGCTTGAGCATGATTAGATAAAAGTAGTAAGAATGACAACAACTAACATTTGTTGAACACTTATGTGCCAGGCACCATGTTGAAAGTCTTATGTTACAGTATTATCAGATTTAATCCTTGAAAAATGCAAGGTAGGTGCTGTGACAGAACATGTGACAGAACTAAAGCTCAGGTATAAATTGTTAAGACCGCCAATTTTAGGCAAGGCAAGACTGAGATGGCAGTGGTCTGAAAGTTTCAGAAAGGCAGTAACTACCTTTTGGCATTATAACATACCAATATTGCATGTTTGAAATTTGAATTTACCAGAACTTGTTGAGACAGTTAAATGCTAATTTATATGAGGTTGGAGAATTTAAACATTTGTTTTATGATTAATTCTTTATAGGTTTGATTTGTAGTAGATAATGAGAATTTACTTTTACTAATAGATGTTAGACTTTCTGATACCAGCCAATTTTTAAATTTTTTGTTTTGTTGTTGATTTGAAATAGATCAGCGGTTGGATCTATGCAAACTTGGGCCAAATGACAATGATACAGTTAGAGGACAGATAGTAGGTAAGTATGGAATTTAAAATCAGTGAATTTTGGCCTCATTCAGACTGACCTATAATTTAAGTACCTTTTAAATCAAAGTATAACAACTAAAGCTACATTGTATTGGCATAAATTAAATATGAGTCAAGATACTATAAACAGTGGCTCTAGGGTCCAGGTTAACTTAATTGCAAAAACTCTTAGTACATTAAAAGATAGCAGCTCCAAGTAAAGAATTCTGTATAGTTTTTGTAGTTTTTGTGTTGTTTTGTTTTTGTTTTTGTTACTTTTTGTTCTTTTCTTTCTAAAATAAAAAAAAAAACTAGTTGATCCTTCAGGAAGGAATCCTTTCAAAGTATTCAAATGCAAAACAGCACTAAGATTTTGTAGATGGTATTAAAGTTTCCTAAAGATAATCCTCAAACTAGTTTTTGAGTAAGAATATTCTATTGAACTTTTTAATATTTAGTACCTTACAGTCTTAAAGATCTATGCTAATTGAAAAAAGAATAAGCAATTTTAGTATAAAACTTAAGGGGCCGAGGATGTGGCTCAGTGGCACAAGTGCCTGCCTGGCAAGCGCAAGGTCCTGAGTTCGATTCCTGGTATCCCCTCCCCTGAAAAAAAAAGACTTAACTGGAAAAAGGGAGAAATGGTTAGCTTACTTATATGGCACTCAGTGGAAAGGGACTAATAGACTATCTTGAGTTGACATAGAGCAAAGGGCGTGGTATAAAATTTCTTGAGACTTTTCTTAAAAACTGATGGGTTGAGATTTGATTATGATGCATAGTGTGGTAGGACGCAGGAAGGTACTTCGGAGGCTTCTTAAAGAATAAAAATTTGGGCTGGGGAGATAGCTCAGTGGCATAAGCGCCTGCCTGGCAAGCACAAGGTCCTGAGTTTGATCCCCAGTAGCAGAAAAAAAATAAAAAATAAATAAAAATTCATTTGGAATCTTACCTTGTGGTAGAGCAGAATGTAGACTAAAATGATTTCATTATGAATGTCTCAAAGTGGTAGTTCCCAAAGGTGCTTGAAGAACTGCATTTCCTACGAGGAAGGCAAAGAATTGGATTCAGAGTTGGGTAACTGGCAGGATAGCCTCTTAACAAAGCCCTGTTCTCGTCATCCCAGGAAAGCATCTGCATGCAGTACAGAGTTACTGGTAATTCCTGTCATTCTTAGATTGAGAAGGAGATGTAAAACATTCTAAAAATAAGTCGTGGCATGCAGGCTTTTTCATGTAGTTGTTTCTGTTGTATTTGATTTGGTATGTTATGTAATGCTTGCCAACTAATATCTAGGATTAACAAAACATACAGTGTTAACCAGGCACTTAAGTGTAAATTTTTATTTATAAAATGATAGAGTTTATTAGAATTCGGAGTATATTTACTAGAATATACTACATAAAATACAGATGTTTTACTTTTAGGTATGTGCATGTGTATTTAAAGGTAAAGCTCATGTGTGAATATGGAACTCATAATAGGACCATTAAGAAGCGAGAGGGAGGCTAAACTCAAATCCTGTCATGTAATCTTGTCATTCCGAGACAGAATGAGCTCAGTTCTTGGAGAATGGGGCCTCTGTAAACAATTGTAAATAGATGGACAAAATATCCTTTTGGAAAATGGAAGAAAACATTAAAATACTAAGCAATACCACTTTCTAAATATTTCTGTATACATATATATTTCTATTATTTTAATTACAGTGAACATAAATTTTTTATTTTGCTTTCTTTCACTTATTGATAATTAATGGTGAATTATAACTTAATCATTGAACTTTTATTTCTGTTGTTATAACATTGAAACTTGCAAGCATTTTTATGTACTTTGCTTTATCTTTTTAAACAATTGTTACCTTAAAAATACTTTTTCCAAATTGAGATGATCTATTCAAGGGGTACAGACCCTTCCCTTGTACTTAAAACTGTTGAGCTGTTTTTGCTCTTGCAAAGATTTTGTTATACTGTTTGCTTTTTAAAAAAAATTTTGGTACCGGGAATCGAACTTAGGACCCTGTGCTTGCCAGGCAGGCACTGTGCCACTGAGCTACATCCCCGGCCCTATTGTTTACAAGAACCTAAAGAATACTCACAGTGTTCATCATAATCATCTTCATGTGTACTTTTGCTATATATACTTAAAAAATGATACTATGCCATGCAAAGTTTTAGTAGCCTGTTTTAATCTGTCATTATGTCTCTTTTTTGTGCATAGATATATTTTTATAGCATTTTTAATGTTGTATGGTAGGATATGATAATTTCACCAATCTTTTGTTATTGGATATTTAGTTAATAATGTTTAAATATTATGAACAGTGGCTCTAGTAAACATTTTTACAGTTCATTTTATATACTAGAATTAGATCATTTAGGACCACATAAAAATTGCTTAGGTGTTTTATAATATAGCAAACCTATGTAATTCATTAGCTTTGAACCTTAATGCTATTTTAAACAAAGCTAGTAAGAAAATAGTGCTTCACTGTGATTCTATTTCAGTAAACATTTCACTTTATTTCTATATGAAAACTTATTTTTCAAGTAGTTTTTCTAAAACATATTTACATTCACTGAGGTGTGTTACAGTGTTCTCTCCTATAAGTGAAACTTAATATACAAGAGATCTGTGAACTTCCTTATTTTTCAGATTTTTATAGAGCAGGGGTATGAGACCATTCTTTGAATGAAAGGTCCTCAGATGTCATACCTTGCAACATACTTTGTATGTGGTAATTTAGTAATTCTTTAAGAAATTAGGATGGTAGTGGTAGCCTGTAATCCCAGCACTCTGGATTTCAACTTTTGAGTCCAGCTTTGGCAATTTAGTGAGACCCTGTCTCAAAATAAAAAACAAAAGGAATGCTGGGAATGTAGCTCAGTGCAAAGGCCTTGGATGCAATCCTTAGTGCTGGGAGAAAAAAAAAAAGAATACTCAATGTTGGCAATTAGCCGTACCTCTTCTAACTTTTGGGAGACTTACCAAAAATAGAATTAAGGAATACTGGAACAGCAAGGAAGGACTTGAGGGATATCATTTAACCTGACTTCCTCGTTATTCATTTGGGACTGTCAGCCCTTAAGCATGTTAAGTGTTTTGTTTAATATTAATTACAGTGTTAACCTAGTTGGCAGAGTCAACTCTAGAGTTTGTATCTCCTGTCTCCAAGTTTATAATGGTAGTTTTACACTACTCTTGAAACCCATGAAGTATAGGGATTACCCTGTTCCCAGAATCCAGTGTAGTTTTTAAAGATATTGAGATGACCAAGAATTAAAACTTATGCTCACTTCAGCAGCACATATGCTAAAATTGGAATGATACGGAAAAGCTTAGCATGGCCCTTGTGCAAGATGACTTGCAAATTTGTGAAGCATTCCATATTTTTTTGAGTCATTTGTAGGAAAATGGATGAACCTTGAGACCATAATGTTAAGTGAAATATATCAGACACACAAGCTTAAATACATGTGGTTTCTGTTATATGAGAAATTCAAAATATAAATAAAGAGCAAAATAAAAGGTAATAGGAATAGGGAACTAGATCTTATGCAGATGGGAGGGGTTGAAAAGGTGAGGGAAGGGGAAGGAGAGAAAAAAAGAATTCAGATGTGCTGTATACATGTACCAGCTCCACACGAGGAGTGTCATCGTTACGTACCTCAAACAGGCACTAATAAGAATAAAAACTAAAAGAAAAAAGAGAATTAAATTAATGTAAACTTCTAAAATTCGTCTGTATGTGACTATACCCTTAATGTGTTACTCCCTCTTCTTGAGTGCAGTAGCAACCTTGCATTGCCCCATTATGAAGATGAAAAGGAAAGTAGACTTTGTTCTGTGAACAAGATAAATTGTAGAAAACCTAAGATTCTGGTATCACTCCTAAAGAAAAAAAAATGTATGGGAAAAGAAACTTTACATTTTATTAGAAACCAAAGATTCATTCTATACTATTAAAGTAAGCCAAATATCTTCTAAAAATAGATGTTTTAGGTTGTAGTAGTTCTTTTCTAGTTCCGTGAATTTTAGTAATGTTTCTGTTGTTTAATAGTAAGTCTTCAGTCCAGAGACCGAATAGGCACAGGAGGACAAGTTGTGGACTGCAGTCGTTTGTTTGATAATGATTTACCAGACGGGTAAGCTAATGTCACTAAAATTGTTAGAGAAATGTATGGATAGTAGACTTTAAATGGTAAGAAATTAATTAGTATTTATTTTATATATTAGAAATTTGCTATAATCAATTCTAGAATGTAGATTTTCTTTCTGCTTATAAAGCTAGAAGAATTGTATTACTATACATTTACAAAATAAGCCATGAATTATGTGTGTTAAATATGAATTTTTTAAGAGCCTTGACCACAAAAAAGTTTTGACAAGGAAGCAAATGAAATTTCTTGCCAAATATAACTTTTGTCTGGATACTATTTAAAAGAAAAACTTTTTTGCTTGGTAAATTACTCTAAACAGGTTTAATAAGCACTGAGTGTGAAGCATTCTATTTAGAGGGATGGGAAAGAGAATTCGGGAAATAATAATTATAATAACAGTTATTGAGCACATACTACTGTAAGTACTTTATATACATAGTATCATTTAATTCTCATAGCATCTTAGCAGGTAGAATATTGTGTATAACTCTGGACTTTGGCCACTTGAGTTCCAGCCCTTACTGTTCTGTTTACTAGCTTCATGACATTATTTTATTTAACTTCTAAAGCTTTAGTTTATTTTGTGAAAAAAATGATTGATGAAAGTCTATATCCTATAAATTGTTGAAGACTTAATTAAATCATTTACATAAAGCACTTCAGTGTCTTGCACATGGTGTTTAACAATTACTGTCATTTTTGTTGTTTTTACTATAGTTACTATCACTCACTTTACAGATTAAAAAACTGGGACTCAGAGTAAAGTAACTTTCCTAAGGGTACATAATAAGTGGCATCACTTGAACACAAGCCTAACTGATGGCTCCCAAACTCTTTATCACTAATCTCTATCTTTGATACTAATTCTGACACTTACCTGATCTATATATCCCTCCCCCCACCAATACCGGGAATTGAACCCACGACCTTGCGCTTGCCAGGCAGGTGCTGTGCCGCTGAGCTAAATCCCCAGCCCAACTTACCTGATTTTTTTAACCTTCAAAGTATTTTTTAGTTCAATGAGGTATAATTTACATATAGTACATTGGACCCATTTAAATTGTATAATTGTTTGATTTTGGCTCAAATTATTTTCAATATAAAATTTTACATCCAAGCTATATTTGCTCATTTTGTTTTGACTTTTAAAAATTGTCATGAATAACTGTGTTTATGGATCACTTTAGTTTTTTGAGGTCTGTCAACTCTTTTATGGATATGAGGTAGATTATGGTAGTTTTGAAGGAGGGTTAGGATGAAATAATATTGAGAGAGTATAGCAAATAAGTATTGTTATTCTGTATTTGTCCATCATTATTTTTATTATAACCACATCTCCTTATTTTTTGTATTTTAATGTCCCCAAAACTCAATCAATATATTGGTGGAAATATTAATATTACCATATATCTGGTTATTTGCCTATTTCAGTATATAAATTATAATAAAGAGTTGAGGGAAAAGTGGCATTCTTGATTTTTAAAAAATTAATTTAGGTAGTTTATTGGTCTGCTCTCTCACTGTTGGGACATAATGCCTGACACTCACAGCTTCAGGAAGGAGAGGTTTATTGTGGCTTCCAGTTTCAGAGGTTTCAGTCCATGGCCGGTTGGCTCCAGGGCAGATACATCATGGTGGGAAGGTATGATGGAGGAAGGCTGCCCAACTTATGGTGGCTGGGAAACAGTGAGTTGGAAAGAGCTGGAGAGAAAGGAGCTTGGGATCAAGTCTGTTGCCCAGGGCCATACCTCCATTACCTGCTTCCTCCAAAGTAGACTCTGCCTTCTAATAATTTATTCAGCTAAGAACTCTTCAGTGGGTAATCTGTTCACGAGGTTCACACCCTCATAATCCAGTCAAGTGGACAGTTACTATGAACTAGCATAGGTGGGCTAAATGTTTTTAACAAGCTCTTCTAGTGAAATTTAATTTTTAAAAAATCATGTATGGTTTTAGACCACCTGTATTTCAATTCTTAGTCTTCTGCATATGAGCTTTAAGACCTAGTTAATTTTGAGTAAATATATTTTTAGGAGAGCTATTTTCAGAAAATGATAGAGAAATTAGTACACGTACACGTTCAGTGATACTGACATTACCTAAACTGTGCATTTCTAAAATAAGTTGAAAAAACCCTATTCAGCCCTTCCTAATTGGAGCAGCAGATATTTACCTGGCTTAGTGATAGCACTGAAAACATAGCATGTGCCGACTTCTTCTTAATACCCATTAAAGCCTTACCTCTCAAAATTTTTCTTTAAGCTGGGAAGAGCGGAGAACTGCCTCCGGAAGAATCCAGTATCTAAACCACATAACAAGAACTACACAATGGGAACGCCCAACAAGGTAAAAACATATAGTATTTCTCATGGTCTGTGCTAGTCACCTACTTAAAGTTATGATTTATCTCTCAACTTTTCCAGAATTTTTCCCTTGCCTTGTATTATTATAGATTATTAGATGCTATTTTAATTTTTATTATTTTTTTAAATTTTACTTGTTTTTTTGAGACAGGGTCATGCTATACAGTTCAGGGTGGCCTTGAACTCAACTATGTAGCACAGGCTGGCCTCAAACTCATAGTGATCCTCCTGCCTCAGCCTTCTGAGCGCTGAGATTACAGGTGTGTGCCACCATATCTGGTTAGGTGCTATTATTACTATTTTTAATGGTCACTATATGAGCAAAGATTGTTTGATAGGTCACCCTGTCACATGTCTAGTAAAAATTGCCAAAGATTTTACTGAAGTTGAACAGCTTATTTTTATTATATCTAAACCTGAGTGAATGAATATACACTCGTGTCATTGTTTAAGTGGGGCCCAATTTCTTCTGTCTCAATTTCTACATGTATAAAATTTTGATTATTATAAATGTTTAAAGGTGAATTTGTGATTATCCTTTTCTTTTGGAAGACCTACAATAACTGGAAATTTCCTTCATGAGACAAACGAATATCTCTCTTTTATTTGTTCAGTAAATGTTAATTGAGCTCTTTGTACCCATGTGTTAGGCACCAGGTAATAGGAATATTTATAGTAGGGAATAAACTAGGCAGATTCCATTCTTTCAGTACATATTTGGTGGGGGGAACGATGGAGAAAACAAAGAAACAAGAAAAATGTCAGAAATAAAGAATAGATGCTCTTTGACTTAATGATTGGGGATATGTCTAATAAACCTTTGTAAATTTAAAGTAGTGTAAGCCAAGAATTCACTTAATATGCTCAGTATAGCAAACATAGCAACACATTACTGTCCTTTACTGTCATGATCACATGGCCTGCTGGGAAGTGCAGCTTGCTGCTGTTGCCCGGCATCGTGAGAGTATCTGTGTGTATCACTTGCTAGTCTGGGAAACAGTATAAATTTGAAGTACAATTTCTATGGAATGCTGATGGCTCTTGCGTTACTGTTAAGTCCAGGAAACTATTTCTGTTTATGTATTTATTTATTTATTTATTTGTGGTACTGGGGATTGAACCCATGGCCTTCACCCTGCGCTGTTCTCTCCTGTTAATCTCAGTCCTTTGTATTTTTACTTTGAGACAAGGTTTTGCTATGTTCCCAAATTACTCGGGCTGGGCTCAAATTTAGGATCTGCCTGCCCCAGCCTCTGAGAGTGCTAGGATTCCAGACATGTGCCATTATCACCGGCAAAGTAAAAAAAGCTTAAATTGAACCTTTATGAATTGGGGAATCTTTGTACTGTCAAATAACTGGAGGGCTGTTAGATTAGAAGGCCCTCTTAGGAGGCCTTGTTTAAGTAAACTATCATTGGAATAACAAAAAAAGAGCTAGGGGATTAGGAAGAATAAGAGAAAAGAGTATTCTGTGGAAAGAAGAGGTACTGTTCTCAAGGTCTAGAGGGTAAACTGACTTTGGGAAGTTCAAGTAATGGGAAGAATAAGTGTGGAAGAAGCCAAATCATAGGAAATCAGGTCCAAGAGGTAGGCTGTATCAAGGTCGAGTTATACTTCGTAAGACAGTACTCAAATTATAAATATATTTAGATTTTGTATAAAATATAATTAAAATCATCAGATGCAGTGCCTCACACCTGTACTCCCAGCTACTTGGGAGGCTGAGACAAGAGGATTTTAAGTTCAGGTTCTCCTAGAACAACTTTAGTGAGACTTTGTCTCAGAATAAATTAAAAAGGGCTTAGTGGTGTGTAGCTTAGTGATGGGGCACTTGCCTAGCATGCATGAAGCTCTGGATTCAATTCCCAGTACCACCAAAACCAAAACAAAACAGCAGATACTTCCATCTATATCTATACCTAAAATCAAATAAAGCCATTTAAATACATAAGTGATGTATTTACCTCATGAGTTTCTTTGGTGCCTAGAGACTTCAGACTTGCTTTTACAGAGTTCCTGAAATCATTATATTTGTATGAGTCAGTCCATTTTCTTATGTGGTAACCAGTTATTGTTGTAGTATATATTATCTGGTGAACTCTTTGATATCTAAATTGATAACATTTTTTTCCTTATTGCTTTTCAATAGACCAGCATCTGAATATTCTAGTCCCGGCAGACCTCTTAGCTGCTTTGTTGATGAGAACACTCCAATTAGTGGAACAAATGGTGCAACATGTGGACAGTCTTCAGACCCCAGACTGGCAGAGAGGAGAGTCAGGTCACAACGACATAGAAATTACATGAGCAGGACACACTTACATACTCCTCCAGACCTACCAGAAGGCTATGGTATGTTAACTAGCGAAAACAAAGCATGGCTTACTAATTTCAGCTTGCTAAGAAAGTCAGAACATCAATTTGAAAAAAGTTTTTAATCTAGGTTTAAGGATTCTATCTGAAAATAAGAGTAAATGTAAAACCACCTGTTAGGGCTTATTATCTAGGTTTCCCCCAAAACCTCATGTGCTCACAGGTAGGGCTTCTTGAAGCTGGCTGCATCTGGGGTGTGTGATGCTGGGATTAAGGGTGTGTGGTATAAATTAGTTCACTGATTGGTTCAGCATAGTTCTTGGTGTAGATAATGGGAAGGCCCACCTTGGGTGTGGGTGGCACCACCCAAAAGGCTTATAGCCTAGATGGGATAAAAAGGAAAGGGAGGCTTGCTGCTGCTTTGCTGCTTGCTGCTGCTACCTCCAGCCTGCTGTGCCATGAACAGTTGCTCCTCTGGTATGGCCCTCTGCCATACCACCCTGCCTTGGAGCCCGCTGACTGTAGACTGAAAACCTCTACAAACTGTGAGCTAAAATAAACCTTTTCTTCTTTTAACTTGTGGGTGTTGGGTATTTTGTCCCAGCAATGAAAAAGTAACTTAAGACACCTCCCAACTTTGAAAAGTCTTTCAGGTGGTAGAAGACTGTATAACCAACAGTTCACCATTGAATTAGTCATTAACCTCAGCTTTCTTTCTCTTTTAACATGAAATGTGATGAGCTTGTAATCCCAGCACTTGAGAGGGTGAGGCAGGAGGATTGCTGTTGAGTTTGAAGCCAGCCTGGACTGCATAGTGAGTGCAGTACATAGTGAGCCTAAACAACATAGTGAGATCCTGTCTCAAAAAACAAACAAAAAGAAAAGAAATATGATGAATCCCAGATTACAAAGGCATTGTTGAGAAGTATGTAAAATGAAATGAGACTACTTTGCAAATAGGCATTACATAAAAGTAAAGTGATACTGTGTTATGGTTTGCGTCTGCATGTCCCCCCAAAGCCTCATGCAGTCATGGGGTGGGCTTTTAGAGTTTACCACTGATCCATGATCCAGTGCTGGGATTGTGGGTGTGAGCACTACACCTGCCCTTGGGTGGACAGTTTGCATATGTGAGGGAGAGAAAGAGGCTGCCGGCCATCATTCCTCCCCTTTTGCTCTTGTTGCTTTTGCTGTCTTCCACCACCGTGAACTGTTGCCCTCTGTTGTGTGCCACTCTGCCTTGGAGTCAGCCGAGTATGGACTGAAACCTCCACAGACTGTGAATTAAACAAACCCTTCCTTCCTTAATTCTGGGTGTCAGGTATTTTGTCTCAACAACGAGAGAAAAGTAACCAAGACATACTGTTATAGAAAAGGGCAACCTGAAGTCAAACCTGCAGTGTGTTTTTCAAGACAAACATATTTAGAAATCATTTCAAAAATCATCTTGATGGTATTTATTATATTTTATTGTCTGTAGTTTTGAATTATCTGGGTGACTGGATTGTTGTAATTAATTTAGTCGCTTCTGTGTTTGTATGAAATGATTGTAGCTTGTCGCCATTGTTCTTGCAATGCAAGTAGAGGATTGCCCTTAAATCTGAGAAGTATTGTTCACAAGAAGACACCGTGTGCTCCCAATGCATCACGTGTGTGTCTTTGTTGACCCGCTGTGGTGGGATGACAGCTCCAGGAGGTGACACCTGGTAAATGGTTACCCTGTCCTGGGAAACAGTTTGTTGATTCACAGGGAGAGATTGGAGCCCCAGAGAGTGGCTACCAGTGTGCTTTCCTATTGTGGTGTGTCACAGAGCTGCAAGACAAGCTTATTTTTCCCTCACTGCCCTTGCTGTATCTTTTCAAAACACTGCCCATCTGTGAGCCAGGAGCCTGGAAAGAGAACTCTGTTAACTGTTGAAAATTGTGAAGTAATGTCTCAGGTCACATTTAGTGACGTGGCTATAGACTTCTCTCGTGAAGAGTGGGGATGGCTAGATTCTGTTCAGAGGGATTTATACAAGGATGTGATGGTCCAGAATTATAAGAACGTAGCCTGTCTAGTGAACATCCTTCAACCCTTTCTTTGATTCTTTTTGTGATGGCCTCTCATCCTTGAGGACCACAGCTTAAACAGTGTTCTTCCTGTGAGCAGGTCTTTCCTTAACTAAGCCACATGTGGTCTCTTTATTGGAGGATGGAAAAGAACCCTGGATGGTGGAGAAAAAACTATCAAAAGATTGGGAATCAAAATGGAACAACAAGGAAGAATCAACAAAGGATATTTATGATAAAGATTCATCCTAAGCTGTAATAATAGAAAAAACTTTTTTACAGTTCGTTTTTTTTTTTTGGTTTTTCTCCGGTACCAGGAACCGAACTCACGACCTTGCGCTTGCCAGGCAGGCGCTTTTGCCACTGAGCTAAATCCCCAGCCCAGAAAAAACTTTTTTAAAAGGTTGTGAATTTTCAGATTTTAACAAGGATTGGGAATATGTAGAGAAGGTGGAGGGGAAAGATGAACATCAGATAGAACATTTCAGACCAATGATCTTCACCTTTAGAGAAAACCCAGCTGAGGAAAGTGTTTTCAAGTATAATACATTTAAAAGCATCTTCCATTTAAATGCTACTCTTTCTGAACCACAGATAATTTCTGCTGAAAAGAAATCACATAAACATGGTATGTTAAAGAAAAGTGTACACAAAAAATCAGTTGTAAAAAATGAGAAAAGCACTGACAGAAATAAAGTATTGGATTCTAATGAAAGTGTGACAACTTTTACCCACAGCAAATCTCTTACCCTTCACCAGACTTATAGTAGAGAGATCTTTACATGCAGTGAATGTGGGAAAGACTGCCAAAGAGTCAGCCTTAATCGCTACTGGAGAATTCATACAGGGGACAAACCCTATGAATGTCATGAGTGTGGGAAGGCTTTTAGCCATGATTCATCCATTACTTGGCATCAGATAAGTGATAGTAGAAAAAAACCCCTACGAATGTATTGAGTGTGGAAAGGTCTTCAGTCATGTGTCTTCGCTTACTAATCATCAGAGCACTCACACTGGAGAGGAGCCATGTGAATGTATGAACTGCGGAAGATCTTTCAGTCATGTTTCACAGCTCATTGAACACCTGAGAATTCATACTGAAGAAAAACTTAGAGTGTCGAATGTGTGCAAAGGCCTTCATTCATAGGTCATCTCTTACTCACCTTCAGAGAATTCATACTGGAGAGACACCTTACAGATGTAATGAATGTGGGAAAGCTTTTTGCTGTAGTTCACACCTTACTTGATGTCAAAGAATTCACACTGTAGAGAAACAATATGTCTAAAAGTTTTTAGTAATTTTCATTTCTTGCTCAACATCAGGGTATTCATACTGAAGAAAAACCCTTTGAGTGTCAGAAATGTAAGAAATGCTTCCACCACTCTGAATCACTGAATATGCATTTGAGAAACCACATTAGGTTGAAACCTTATGAATGCAGTGCATGTGGAAAAGCCTTCAGTCACAGATCATCCCTGCTTCAACCTCACAGAATTTATACAGGAGAGAAACCTTATCAATGTATTAAATGTGGAAAGACCGTCTGTTGTAGTTCAGACCTTACAGTATGTGAGAGAATTCATACTGGAGAAAAGCCATTAAATGTAATGAGTGTGGGAAAGCTTTTAGCAAAGGCTCAAATCTTACTGCCCATCAAAGAACACACATTGGAGAGAAATTCAGTAGTGCAATGAACATGGAAAAAATGTGTAGACCAAATAAATCACTATACATGTCAGAATTCATACGAGAGAAACTGTATGAAACAGTATTTGTTATAGTGAACTTCAGCCACAGATCCTCTCTAAATCATCATCAGAAATTTTTTATGGAAGGGAAGTATGGGAAGACCTTTAGTAATGATATAACCTATTGTCTATCAGAGTTCATACTGTAGAGAAATTATATGGAGGCAGTGAATGTGAGAAAGCCTTTGTCAGTATCAATTCCTCAATTCCTTAATTAAATCCACACTAGAAAAAAACCCTATATATATAACACATATGAGAAAGACCATAGACAATATGAATTTCTCAAAAACTTGTACAGGAGACAAGTTATAGAAACATAGAAACTTAAGTACGTGTGGGAAATCCTGCAACTGAAGTACATCCGTCACACAGGAGAGAAATCGGACATCCAGTACACCGGAGTGTTCACTTAAGAGTTATCTTGCTAGACATCAGTTACAGAACAACATAAAGGATACAGGAATTACGTGTAAATCTTTGCTTTGGTATTATTTGTAAACAAAATTCTACAGGGGAGGAAACAAATATTTCTTACAGCAGTAGCTTTCAATTTGAGTCATACATAGAAATTATTTTTAGTGAATAGGGATGTCAAGATACTTAGCATGTAGTGGATACAATAAATGTTATAATGTTAAAAATCAAAGCTGCAAAGGAATTACTAAAACTTTTGGTCTCTATAAAATCATTTTGATTGTAATCTTAAATAATTTTCTAGAAATGTAGAATCTCATGTGGCAGATGGCATAAATCTTCTAATTGAATTCATAACTTTCTAAATTAATCCCAACTTATGAATGCTCACATATTATAAACTTTACTGTTCACCTAGTTAACGAAGTCACTTACATCCTCGCCCTCTTACACTGCAGATGAAACTGCTTTGGGCTAATGGTGACACCTAACGACCAACATTAGGAAATGCCTGACTTAAGTTTTGTCATATTTTTATCTAGACAACTTTAGAATCATTTTAAATTTTATTTTATAGAAGTACTGCACGCTGATTGCGCCACTGGAGCTTCAGCCGCTCTAATTTTATTTTAAAGCATATTTTAGTGCTTTTATTTGAAAATAGTTTGCCCGGTGATTAGAGTGTGAGACAGACAACTTTGATTCCCATCCTGGCTTTGCCATTTTACACTGAGCATATTATTTAGTCTCATTTTTTTAAGGTGGTTTTTTATTGTTGTTTCTGTGTTTGTGTTTTTGAACATGCACCCAGGGCCTTGCACATGCTAGGCAAGTGAAGTACTCTACCACTGAGGTACATCCCCAGTCATTATCTTCTATAAAATGAGAGAAATAATAGTGCCATCTGTGTAGGTTGGTTTGCAAGAAGGAAGTGATACAAATTTCAGAAGAAGTACCCGGCACTCTCTGGCATAAAAAACACTCAGTAAAATTTAGCTACTTAATTATTCGTGTTCAGACCTTAAAATAAAATACCTCCTGCCATTTCTCTTTGATAGCATAAGGTAAACTGTTTAGGAATGATTATACTTTTACAGTGTTTGTGCAGTGTAAATTTTAAAAATTTTTGTACAACTAACAGGAATGAAATAGGTTGAAAAGCGCCTGCCTGGCAAGCGCAAGGTCGTGAGTTCGGTTCCTGGTACCGGAGAAAAACCCAAAAAAAAAAAAAAAAAAAAGAAATAGGTTGAAATTTTTGCAACTCTCATCTGTAACTGATTTTAAACATTTTATGTTTATAATTTTAAAGGTTTGAAGTTTAATTTTATTGACTTTGTTATGGGTTCTATAAGTGAATTAAGCTTATACTAAAATATTAGCAGTAGATTTATTGTCTTATATATTAAAATTTTTTATTAGATTCTGTTTGAAAACTGGTCCTGTTGCTTAAGAAAACAAAGACTTAAAAAAAACAACAGCGCAGTCCTGAAGGAGCTCTGTACTGCTTCTTGCTCTTCACGCTGGCTTCCCTGCTGTCTTGCCAAGGGCTTTGCATGCACTTCACCTTTGACTTTTTTCCCCCAAAGTGTACTCTTTTTTTTTTTTTTCTTTTTTTTGATGTGCACTCTTGTTAGCTGTCTTCTTTCCAATTTAATTATTTTTCCATCTTTACTTGTTTATGACTATGCAATATGTTCCTTGTATCTATTTTTTTTTATAGCTGTTTGAGCTCAAAAGTAGCTTAAAAGAATATCTGTCAAAAAAGAGGAAATAAGCATTAACAGCCTCCAAACCCTTTTGAAGTTTCTGAAAGCCTCTGAGTCTCCCCAGAGTTGGCCAGCCACTTCTTCTGAGCCTTCCATTGGTCCCTTCAGGCTCTGTGTTGAAGAAGAATAAAAGATCATTTGTTTTGTCTTTGTAATTATTGGTATTGTGAAAATTTTGTTTTCTATTTTTCCATTGCAACATGTTTACTGTTTGGCACATTATTAGTTTAGCTTTTTAGATAGCTGGCCTATAATCCTCATTATTATTTATGAAATTGTCTCCAGGGGACAAAACCAATGGTTCATAAAGTCATTTTTCTTAACGAAATAGATTGGTAATTTGGAGATTTTCCCAGTTAGAGTATCATCCTAGTGTATGTAACTTCCTTAGATGTAGACATTCCGAATTTGATTTTAATGCTAATTTTCTTTATTTTATAGAACAGAGGACAACACAACAAGGTCAGGTGTACTTCTTACATACTCAGACTGGAGTGAGCACGTGGCATGATCCAAGAGTGCCTAGGTAAGAACATAAGTACTCTTCGTACCGTGCATATCTGATTTACCCAGAGTTCATTTTTTATGTGTATCTTTCATCTGCTTTCATCTATTCTACAATTTTAGAAATGTAAAAAATACTATTGAAAACCAAAAAAATTGTGCAGTGTATACCCGTGATGGCAAACCTTTTAGAGCTGTCAGTGCTACAAACAGCTTGCTGTAGTATGTGTGCTGTTTCATTACCACTGCACCTCAGGCTAGTTGAGCTTGCAAGAATAGGCTTATAAAACACTAAAGCACACATCTAACCTATAAGGCTTATATTCTTACGCTGTATCATTTGACTACTGGAGGAAGAAAAAAAGATTAGATTATAATAACCCATCTCAGGAAATTTTTAAAATTTGAATTAGAAGGACTTCAGTTTCCAAATCTCTTCTTCAAAGCTAGTACTAATGCAGTGCAGATCAGAATGTCTAAGACTGGGTGTGGTGGCGCATGCCTGTAATCCCAGTACTCTGGAGGCTGAGGCAGGGGGAGCACCAGGAGCTTGAGGCTGGCCTGGGCTATACTACATAGCGAGACCCTGTCTCAACAACAAAAAATGAAACAGAAACACAGAATATCTAATACAATTAACAACAGACCAAGGCAATTTGTGACATAGATTAACCCATCTGTTGTAAGCTAAGAATGTTTCAGATGGTAGAGCTTGTACTTAGTTTCTTCAGTCACCTGAGACAAACCTGACTGATGGCAGAAGAGGCTCCATAGGTCCAGGTGCAGCCGCTGCTAGTTCCCTGCAGGATCCCTGTGCCAGACCCCCACAGCCCCTCTGTATCCTGTCCTTACCTCGGGCGGGGCCAGTGTACTTGTGTGTTAGCTTGTTTCAGTTTTGTTCACCATTTTGCAGAGAGAGGCACCATAGCAACTCCTGCATTTTCTCTGATTTTTTTTTTTTTTTGGTATCAGGAATCAAACTCACAACCTCAGCTTGCCGAGCGGGTGCTGTGCTGCTGAGCTATATCCCAGGCCTCTGATTTTGACCTTGTTGGTGTGTTTAGCCACATCACTGTGACTTAGGCCAAGCCCAGAAAAACGTTTTGATTTTTAAAACTGTATACTTTCTAAACTTTCATCATAGTGTATTTTAGTTTTTCTATTTATTACTGGTAGTTCTAACTTAATGTAATACATGTAGATATTAACAAATATAAAAGAGCACTCTTTTTACTTCTGTGAAAAATATAAAACAAAACTTCCTAACAAAATAATTAGAGTAACAATAGTTAATACACTGTATCATAATCTCAAAAGAATGGCTCAGATGTTGCTCAGGATACAAGTCATAGACAAAAAAAGGCTTGCAAAAATAGAAACAGATAATAGCACAGAACTTTCTTTTCAGTAACTAAGAGAAACTGGTAATATAAATGAAACTAATTAGCATATATATTGAAATTATTTTTGAAAGGCTTTTTCTGATTGAAATTTCATTTTAGGATTTAGTAGATGAAGCAGGAGCACTGTTGCGAGTTAGAGGCCAACCCGGACTACAAAGTGAGCTCAAGGCCAGTCTGAACTGCATAGCAAGACCCTGTCTCAAAAAGAGCACCCCCCCAAAAAAAACCACTTTTTTTTTTTTAGGATTTTGAAATTAAACTGGGGAGAACATACCCTTTAAAAAGTGAGATTGGGGGTTGGGGATTTAGCTCAGCGGCAAAGCGCCTGCCTGGCAAGCGCACAGTCATGAGTTTGGTTCCCGGTACCGGAGAAAAACCAAAAAAAAAAAGTGAGATTGGCCAGGCATGGTGATACACATGTGTAATCGCAGTGCCCAGTAGGCTGAGGCAGAAGGATCCCCACAAGTTCAAGTTGCATTTGCTTATGTAACCCAGGGTGGCCTCGAACTCACAGTGATCCTCCTGCCTAAGCCTCCCGCATGTGGGATTACAAGTATGTACCACCATGCCTAGCTGTTTCTGTCTTAAACAGTAAAAGATACTAGTTTTTAAGGAATAGTGGAGGGGGAATTTTATATTTATTAAACCCACTCAAAGATGTCTCAGGGCCTAACTTAGAGATCAGTTTTGTTAAATTACGGAGTTTTTTAGATTCTGTTTACCAAGTTGGAGATTAAAAAAAAACCTCTTCTTTAAAATGATTTCAAAACTTTGGCAGGAAATACATTAAAAAGTGATTTTTAAAAACTAAATGATTTGCAGTAGTGAGAATGTTGACATTAACTGTTGAGAGAATAGAATGTAAGCTGGCAACAGAAGTTGAAACTGAGATTGCTTTCAGCACTGCTGTTGGTAGTGTGCTTTTATTCCTAAGGAAGAATGTAGGTTTTTCATCAATGAGTAAGAGGTTTCTATAAAATAAAGAATATTTTATGTGAGTATTTAATGTTGAAGCTGGCTGTGTTGGTGCATGACTGCAGTCCCAGCTGCTTGGGAAGCTGAAGCAGGAGGATTACAAATTCAAGGCCATGCTGGAAACTTAGTGAGACCCTGTCTCAAAATTAAAGAAAAAAAATTACAAAAGAGCTGGAATATAACCCAGTGGTAGGGTGCTCCTGGGTTTCATCCCCAGAGCCACCACCAAAAAAATGTTGAGTATTATCTTAGTTACTTTTCTCATTGCTGAGACAAAATACCTGACCCTGAAAGTTAAAGGGGAGAAACAATCCATGGCAGAGCAGGGCAGGCAGCAAGCAAGTGAGCTACAGGTGACCAGCAGTCAGTAACAAGCATAGCAACTGTTTCTGTCCCTCTTGTTCCATCCAGGCTGGGGTGGGCAGCACTCACACCCTTAATCCCAGCATCTCACTGTGAGTCAGGCCCAGCCGCTCATCCTTGATCCAACAGCACACATCGTAGATCCACCCACCTCTGAAAAGCCCCACCTGTGACTGCATGAGGCTCTGGGGGGACTTCTAGACACAGGCCAGAACTAGTATTGACACCTGTTTTGAATTTCTTTACAAAATAATGCTCTGCGTTGCTTTTCTTAGTCTTCCTAGGCCCCAAGTTATCTTCAAAGTTTATATATTTATCTTTTATGTTCGAGCATCATTCAGCAAATACTCCTTTTGTATGGAGGGTCTTTTATCAAAGCACAGTAAAAATATTTAGATTCTATTAAAATATCACTATTCAAAGACGTTTATAAAGTGGTGTAAATCAAATATAATAACTTTAAAGAAATCCAGCATGTTTATAGGTTTCTCTGAGAAATCCCATTTCATGATAGTTTACGTTTTTGTTTAAAACAATGAGTGACACCTTGTTATTCATTCTGTTGCATACTGACTGTAGTCTTGAAGTACAGGTCTGTGCAATACTTCATGGCTTCATAACATTCCATTTTTCTTAATCAGTTCCCAACTGGGCATAAAGATTATTTCCAGTGTTTTGCCCTTTTAGGTGCTTTAAAGCTCTCCTATGTATGCTCATAGATTAGTAAAATTTGAAATAAAACAGTATAAAATCAAATTCTGCATTCTATCAATAGAATTATTCTTTTTTTTTTTTTTTTTTTTATCAATAGAATTATTCTTTTTTTTTTTTTTTTTTTGAGACAGAGTCTTGCTATGTAGTTCAGGCTGGCCTAAACTCACTATGTAGGCCAGGCTGGCCTTGAGCTCACATAGGTCCTCCTGCCTGAGCCCTCAAGTGGTGAGATTTCAGGTGTGCAGCACCACATGAAATTATTCATTCTTTGATTTCAGTCTTTTTTTTTACTTCTAAAAGTTCCGTTTACACTGGGCGTGGTGGTGCATGCCTGCAGTCGCAGCACTTGGGAGGTACTGAGGCAAGAGGCACAGAGTTCAAGGCCAGCCTGGGCTACATAGTGAGTTTATGACCACCCTGAACTACACAGTGAGACCCTGTCTCAAAAAATAAATTAGTAAAATAAAAGTTCCATTTAAGAAAATCTGCCTGTTCAATTTTAGTCTTTCACTGATAGTTTATCTTTGTGATTTCACCTTTTCATCTTTTTAAATATCACATATCATAGGGATTCTCTTTTCTAACTGTTCGGGGGTCTGATTCTGTGGCTTGTTGCTTCACTGACTGTCACATTGTTCTTCTTTTCAGAAGTGTATGGTGATCTTCAATTGTGGGTTATTATTTGATCTTCGTTAGCTGGCTTCTTTGGACCTAACATGGGAACTTAGGAAGTTTTCTTGGAATCACTTCACCCCTCCCATTGAGTTCTTAGCTTAGTGAGGAGGTTCTAGGTTTCCTTTCCAAAGATAGTTCAAGGTTTCTAAACTTGCTGCTCACGCTCTCCCCACTTGCTGCTCCAGCTGTTGTCGTTCCTTCTCCTCCTCTTCTTCCTCTTCATTGAGACTTGTAAGAAGAGATTATATTAAGAAAAATGTCTGGGTTAGCTTTTAAAATGTTATTTTGAAAAACGAGGTGTACAGCTTTTCTTCTTCTCCTCCCTGTTTTGAATAAAAAGAGGATCACAAAAGGTAACAGTTTTACAGTCTAGATGCTTGGTTTGCTTGGTCAGTTTCATAGAGTGTCATTTTCTCAGTTTACAAGTGGTCTCAGAAGTGTAAAGTGTTCATTTAGGGCTGGAAATGACCTGAACATATTTTATCATTATGTGTGGCCTCAGTGGGGTCACTGAAGGCAGGGACTTAACTGTCCTAGTGGATGATGGCAGCGATTTGAACACTCTGGAATCTTCATTCTGGAATATTCTGTTCTAATAGTGTTGAGAATGAAAAATTGCAGTCCTGCTTGTGGTTAATGAGCAAAAGGAAGCAGTACCTGGGGCAGGGTGTGGAGCAGGGGCGAGGGCAAGTTTCCACACCCACTTTGCACCCTTTTCCCTTTTCCCCTGCATCAGTGTGCTCAGCAGTGTGGAGGCTTCTTAGCTCATTCCTTAAGGCCTTATAAACCCTTGTCTCTATATAATGGTACTTCATTTATAATGTGATAACAATTCTTTGGTTCATTAAAAATTTGTTTTAAAAAATTTCAACAAGTAAGTCATAGAGCATTCTTTCTTTCTTAGGTTTTTGTTTTTTGCTTTTTTGTTTTTCTTTTGAGAGAAGATCTTATAAGCTGTCTAGGCTGGGCTCGAAGCTGGGATCTTCCTGCCTTACCTCCCATAGTGCTGGGATTACAACTGTGCGCGACAGCCTTCCTTAGGTGCCTTAAACAGGTTCTTCAAACTTTATATATTTGAAAATACAAAGTGAAGAAGTTACTCTTTAAAAAATATGTTGTCATTATTTTTAGGATCGTAATTTCAATAACATTTCCAGTTGTGCTTTGTTGGAAAGCTTAAAATTATTCATGGAATGGACATTTGTTCACCCAGATTTTTATGATATTGTAAAGAAAGCAATAATTGAAGGGCAGTTTTAGAAAACATTTAATTCCATATCACTAACACTTGTAACTCAGTATTTTCTGTCAGTTATTGAAGTATAGTTTTTATTGGCTAACGTCAGAATTGCTTTTGTATTAATTTAAAATCTGTATTACATTAAAACCCAGGAACTAAAAACGTAGGCTGTGTGATAAGTCCTTCTGAGCCATTTGTGGATAGGTTTTTGAATATGTGAGTTTGTTAAACCATTGGGAATTAAAGATTTCAGCTAAACATCTCAAGTTTCTGAAACAATACATTTTCTCAGACTTCATGGAATTGTTCTGTGTCATTTACACTTGCTTGGCTCAGCAGGCCCAGCAATGAGGTATTTTTTATTTTATATTTGTTTTTGCAGGGATCTTAGCAACATCAATTGTGAAGAGCTTGGTCCTTTGCCTCCTGGATGGGAGATCCGTAATACTGCAACAGGCAGAGTTTATTTCGTTGACCATAACAACAGAACAACACAATTTACAGATCCTCGGCTCTCTGCTAACTTGCATTTAGTTTTAAAGTAAGTTTTTAAAACAGTACATGTTAAAATGCTAGTCTGAACAAGAGGAAATTTGATAGGTGCTTTTTGTAGTAAATGTGAAAGAATATCTGCTCTCTTCAACTTATAATTTACTTTTAGGGATCGCATGTTACATAAGAGCTATGGCACATAGCTCTTACATGAGTACTTTAATTCTGTACTTGAGTAGGAACCAGTCCTGAAATATTAGGAGAATGATATGTAGTAAGAATGCTCAAATATGAGGGGCTTCTTCAGGGTCAGTAGCTAGACAGGAGAAGTTAGGGCTAATTTGGTGTTGACATTGCAGCTACTCCTTTCTGTGAGCAGCTGACATTTCAGTAGCACTTATTGTATGATAAGTGTTCTCTGTATTTTACATATATTAGCAGTTTCATCCTCAGAAATACAGTTTGACCCTCAGTGGTATAGTTACTGCAACTTTACAAAGAAGGAAACTGTATAGAAAGTGACTTTCTGTAAGTTAGCAAGCGGCTGCATCTTGATTCATATCCAGACTCCCTGGCTTTAGTCTGCTGTGGCCACTGTCCTGAGCATCGTTTGCGTATTATTTGCATCCTTTGCTTTTCTTTCCTCTCTCAATGCCTAGTTTTTTTCTGACTTTATTAGTTCCTGGCATTGCCTTCTAGGAAGGGAAGGGAGAAGGAAAAGAGAGAAAGGAAATTTCATTACCAAGCAAAGTGGCAGAGTGTCTTTCAACAGTTTTGGCAAAAACACTTTGACGGTGAGGTAGCAACAAGGTTCTTGGCCTTGGAATCTGGTAAACAAGGGATGGTGGTGTAGCTCAGTGGTAGAAAACTTGAGCCTAAAATGGGCAAGGTTCTGGGCTTTATACCTGCACCAAACCAAAAAAAAGACAAAAGGGAAAAGAAACTGGAAAGTAAGGTTTTGTGTGACTCCAGAATAACTCACTCTAGCGCTTTTCAGAAAAAGGCATTACCTGCTTTGCCACCCTTAGTCATTAACGCATTACCATAAGTACTCAATAGTGAAGCACCTCTAATGTCCATTAAATACTGAACAAAACTAATTGTGTATTGGATTTTAAGATGCCTTTGGAAAATATCCTTGTTTCGTTAACCTCTTTGGAAGTAGATTAAATAGAGGAAAACAGTGAAGAGATGGCTACCAGTTGCTTCAAATAACAAGAGAAAACATTTAAATGGTCTGTCTCCGGTTTCTTCTTTGAATAATTATCCTGGCTGTCTTATTGGGTCACTAGATCTTGCTTTATTGTGCAGCAGAGATTCTAAACCCTTGGTTTACAGATGAAATTTACAAGTATTTGGAAGTCTTCCAGAGAGTAAGCATTTGAAGAATGTAGCGAAGTCTGATCTCTTAAGTACAGCAGGGTGCAGAGCCGAGGTAGCAGTGTAGTGTACTCCACGGTTCTCCTTTGGGTAATGCTGCTCTGGGGCACCCCCTAGTGGCAGAATTGCAGCATCATAAAGCCTTTTAATCTTCAGGCTTCAAACACAAGGGCAGCTTTTCTAAAGTAACTGTACGCTAGTAGTACTTGAGTTCCTGTTGGTCCAGAACATTGCCATACTTGGTATTATTGGACTTTAAAGTGTTTTTCCAGTCTGATGCTGTTTTTAATGGTATCTTGTGACTTGGACATTATTAATGTAACCTTTTCATAGGTTTGTTGACTATTCAAACTTCTTTTGTGAAGGTCCTCTTCATGCCTTTTGATTATCTCATTATCTATTGAGATTGAAGAGGTTTTCATTGTCCTGTTGACCAGTTGTATCAGTTCTTATAAATTGTTAATATTCTTTGCTCACTCTTATGGTATATTCTTTATATTTAAAATTTTGAACTTTAATGAATTTTATTTTTAATTTTAATTTTTTTTGAGACAGGGTCTCCCTTAGGTAGTCCAGGCTAGCCTTGAACTCACTGTGTATACCAGATTGCCTCAAAATCATAGTGATCCTCCTGCCTCAGCCTCCCAAGTGCTGGGATTACAGGTGTATGCCACCGTGTGTGAGTGTAATGAATTTTAAATATGTTTATTGTTTTGTCCTTTGTAGTAAAATCTAATCTATCCTGGCTGGGGATGGTGGCACATGCCTGTAATCCTACCATTTGGGAGACTGAGGCAGGAGGATTGTGGAGGCCAGCCTGAACTACATTATGAGAGCCTGTCTCAGAAACAGACAAACCCAAAACAATATCAACAACAAAAACAAAGCTAATCCATCTGGGTTTTTGTTTATGAATTTGAGTGGCATATAGGGGCAACTAACTGGAGTTTGGGAAGATGTTAAAATGATAAGATGTTGAGGGTCTCTACAGAAAGGTTTTTATTTTTCCATTATAATTGTTACTGGACTGAATTACTTGAGAGAACTCATATCCTGTATTTTTCCCTCTGTAATAGATACCAGTGATCGTAAATCTTTCAGAGCTTTCAGTGATACCAGCAGGCCGCTGGGACACATATGCCATAGTTCCCCACCACTGGTCTAGAACATACTCAAGTACTTGGCAAATGAATCACAGTAATAAAGAGCTGGAATGGCTCCTTCAGAGGTCAAGTAAAGGTCTTAGAGGTGCTTGTACTTTATTTATCTCCTGCCTTCAGGATCATTTCTTTCTTTGGATAATAGACGTTTGGCTTGATGTTATCAATGAACACTTAAGTAGAACAGTTGCACACTTTCTTTTCACTAAGTAGTTGAATTAAATAACTGAATGAAAGTTCATGTTCTAAGGGAGGAACTAAAGATGGGATGATTAGAAATGTTTTTTCGCTTTTTTGTTTGTTGGAGTACATGACAGAAGTAATTTGAAGAACACTAGCCTGCTCTCCTTATGATTATTTTTCAGTTGTTTATTAGTTTATATTAATGCAGTACATCCCATACCTCCAAGTTTTATGAACATTCCTAGTAGAAAGTTTTCATTTGAAAATCTATTTTAAACCAGGTGTGGTGGTGCATGCTTGTAATCCCAGCACTCGGGAGGCTGAGGCAGGAGGATCTTTTCGAGTTCAAGACTAGCCTGGGCTACAAAGTGAGCTCAAGGCCAGCCTGAACTGCAGAGCAAGACCGTGTCTCAAAAAGACACACAAAAAAATGTAGTATTGAAGTACTATTTTACACCTCTCTTCATTTCTTTAAATTGTAAATTATTATGCTAGGAAAAGGTTGAGTATTTATATATTTGGGGTTTTTGCTTGTTTTTTTAAAGGACAGCATTTTAGAACTTCTACTGTCAGCATCTTTAGTAAGGTCTAGCCTGGTAAATCTTCCCTATGGTTTAATATTCATCTATATTAGGTAAAGTATGTAAAAATTATTCACAGCATTAGGATTTCTATCAAAAATTAAATGAGTGATAAAGTAGTTTTTATTCAGATATATAATGTAAAACCTAATTTACATGTGAAAGTGAATTCATTACAGTGAGGCACAAGAAACAATTTCACCCTTAAATTGCAGTTTTAAAAAAGATATTTACACTGGGCATGGTGGTACACACCTGTAACCACAGCACTTGGGAGGCTGAGGCAGGAAGATCATTGTAAGTTCAAGGTCAACCTGTGCTCCAAAGTGAGTTCAAGGCCAGTCTGAACTTCATAGTGAAACCCTGTTTAAAAAAAAAAAAAAAATTATATATATATATATAATATATATTCATAAGGCACTGATTTTAAAATTTAAGTGTTGATCTATTAATCTTTACATGTATCAGGATATGTTGGATAGAGAACTTTATTTCTCTAATGTTTTGTTTCTGTTGGTTTAAAACTTGGAATGTGTTTTAATCGGGTGTTTAAGAAGTTTGGAATCGGGGCTGGGGATTTAGCTCAGCGGCAAAAGCGCCTGCCTGGCAAGCGCAAGGTCGTGAGTTCGTCCCGGTATCGCAGAAAAAAAAAAAAAAAAAAAAAAAAAAAAAAAGAAGTTTGGAATCTATGTGAGCTATCAAATATGTTGTTACCTTATCTAATAAGAGTTTATATTGTATTTTTCTTTCCTCTGTGAATTTTTTTTTAAAACTTAGTGGAATATAGCTGATATTATGCCAATTATGAATTGGTGAAATTAGTCTAAATTTTAGAGAGCTGTGATATGTAGAATATATATATATTTTGTACCAAGATTTGAACTCAGGACCTTGTGCTTGCCAGGCTAGATTATATTATTAAAACCTTCACAAATTAGATTACTTTGCTTTTTAGTTTTTTCTTATTACAGCATTTAGAAAATGAGAAAATGCTGATTTGCAATCTCCTATAGAGGGCGCTCACTGGAATCAGAAAAACAGTGTGGTGTGGGGCAAGTTACATTTAAGAGAGGAATCTTATGTTTGAGAAGAACTGATAATTAATATTTTGTTGTTGCTTTACTCCTGGGGGTTGGACCCAGGGCCTTGGACATGCTAGACAAGCATTCTACCTGTGAGCTCCATCCCTAGCCTAAGAATTACTATCTGAGAGGAAGTAACAAGAGAATTAATTACCTCTTAGAAAAATATGTACTAAACTTGTTTTATCTAGAATGTAAATGAGGACATCCAGTTTGACTTATATGTTTTCTTGTGCAGATACGTTAATATTCCTTAGCCTTTACCTCCAAATCCCTCCTGTGACATGGTTGGCGTTCTTTTCCTGAGAGGGCGCAGTGTTGTCGGACTATTGCAAAACCTCATTAGGGGCCAGTAAATAACACAGCCAGGGAAACATTCTCTGAAGAAATCATTTGTAGTTTGTTTTTTGTTTCAGTTGCTTGAAACACATACTTTATAGATTTTTTAAAAATCCAGTAGCTCTTTTAGTAGAATAATTTCCTCGCTTATCATGCTGTAGGTACTGGCTAAATGCTGTCTCATGTCACCTGCATTTCAACCCTCGGCTGTCTGTCTCTCACCAGTGAGAAAAATGGAGCATCAGACAGGTCCATACTTTGTCCAGAGGTATTTAACAAGTGTAGGAGCTGAGACTGAATCCAGCCAGTCTAACTAGAAAGGTTTTTTTTTAATCTCTCTTTTCTTACATTCTTTTTTAACCTTGTAATTTCCCTTCTTTTGACTGTCAGTGCCTGAAGATGTTCTGCCTTATACCCTGAAAGGAAGCTTTTAAAAAAAGAAAAAAGGTAACTTTGGGCAAGGCTTTGCAATTCAAGTCTTTTCTCTACTTGTCAGGATCACTTACTTTAAGAAAATCATTTGATTGTTTTATAAGACTCTGGACATTGTCAGAGGCCTTAAAAGAGAACAGATTGGCAGCCTCTGTGTTTCCTGGCCAGAGCTGACATGAAGCTCGTACGTAACTGCCCCTGTGTCCTACCATAGCTGAAGAGATAGGCTGCTTTATTGGGTAGGTGGATTTTTTTCTTCTCATGTGCATCAGAAATAATAGTTCCAGAATGGCTAAATTCTGGATTTTTTTGCTGTTTCAGTTTTATCCCTCACCATTTTTTTTTTCTCCCAACAGAGGCAGAGTTTTATTAAAGGTAGGGAAAAAAACAGGCTCTGCAGAGCAAGTTTGGGCCAAGTAGAAGTAGAAAGAGTAGGGCACCCTACAGCGTGGGGCGGCCACCAGAGAAGAGTGAGCGTAGCGCACAGTGGCCCGACCTTCTGCTTTAAGCGCCTTTTCCACTTGCGGGTTTTGTTTTTGTTTTTGTTTTTGTTTTGTTTGTTTTTGAAATAGGGTCTCGCCATGTAGCCCAGGCTTGCCTCAAACTCGTGATGATCCTCCAGCCTCAGCCTCCCAAGTGCTGGGATTACAGGTGTGCACCACCATGCCTGACATCCATTGCAGGTCTTAGTATTACATTCAAGGCTTTGTGAGTGAGCTGGACGTCCACTGGATTTTTAAAAAATCAGTGTTACGGAAAATAATTGACCTATAATAAGTTACAAATATTTAAAGTAAGCTGGGCATGGTGGCACGTGCCTGTTAGCCCAGCACTCAGGAGGCTGAGGCAGGAGGATCGTGGTGAGTTTGAGACCAGCCTGGGCTACAAAGTGAGCTCAAGGCCAGCCTGAACTGCATAGTGAGACCCTATCTCAAAAAGCAAACAAATAAATATTTAAAGTATATAGTTTAATTTTGACGTATACCCAAGAAACCATCACCACAGTGATGAAAATTAACATACCATCACCCTAGAGGATTCCTCGTGTTCTTTTGTAATTTCTCCTGCTATCCTGTGCTGAGCACTCACTTTCCTGTTGCCAAAACAAAATACCTGGCACCTGCAACTTAAAGGTACACAACTTACTTGGTACACAGTTTCCAGTGGAAGTCCAGTTCAGTTTTCACTTGCCACTGCAATTGGAAGATGAAGGGACAAGAGTAAGTGCAATGGTGACAGCAAGACCTTCTTGCAGATGATGCTTTTACTTGCTGACCTGTTTTGTACAGTTGCTGAGGGAAGTTTCAGCCTGTCAGCACTGGCACGGAGTGCACACACCTTTGTCGTTCACGTATGACTTGGACATGAACGGCATTCTAAGCTCCTTTTTACGTGCTTGCACACTGAATAAACGTGTGCTTCTGAATCTCACACACACACTGTCCACCCTTCCAGGGCACGTCCTCCCTGGGCCAGCTCTTCCGACTGCGCCCCACCCCCGCACAGCACAGTCAGCTGTGAACTCAAGAGCAGGCTAATCTGAGGAGTGCAGGCCCCTCGTGATCTTACCATCTTTCAGAAGCCCCACTTCTGAACGTGGGACTTCTGGGGGACATGAATTTTCCAGGACCGTTAGGATAGCATAGCACCGATGGGACTGACAAGAGAAATTCCTTCTCCACAGGTCTGGAGGCTGCAGACCCGGACAGGCAGCCCGCTGGATTGGCTCCTTCTGGGGTTGCTGGAGGAGAGGGGAGAGGTGGCTCATGCCCTTCTCTGAACTTCTGGTGGCTTCTCCTAGCCTTTTCTGTGGTGGTCCTTGGCTTGTTGGCCGGCACTCCAGTCTTTGTCTTCTGTCATCTCACAGCCGTCCTTCTGTTTTTCTTTTTTTTTGGTGTTGGTGGTACTGTACTGGAAATTAAACCCGGGGTCTCTGCACTGAGCTAATGCTCAGCCCTTTTTTATGTGGGGAAAGGGTCCCGTTAACTTCCTAGGCTGGGCTCAAACTTGCAATCCTCTTGCCTCAGCCTGCTAGCATGCTGGGATTATAGTGGCTTGTGCCACGGTGCCCAGTTTATGCATCTTTCCTGTGTGTCTCTATCCACATTTCCCTTCTTTTATAAGGACACTCGTTATTGGATTTATTGCAGCATCTCAGTGCAGTATGACTTCATTTTAACTTGATTAAATCTACAATTAAGGTCCCTGGATTGAATCCTCAGTTACAATCACAGGTTCTAAGAATCGGGACTTCACCATATCTTTTTGGTGGATACAGGTATCCTCCAAACACCCTATTCTGAGTCAGTCACTAGGCTACTTTCCATCATCATGTATTATTTTGAATTTAGCAAATGAGATCATGTAGTATGTGTTCTTTTTTGTTTGGTTTCTGTTTCCTAATATAATTTTGAGATTTGTCTTTGTTGTTGGATATATAGTTTTTGTTGCTGGTGGTATTATATTCTGTGGATATAGTACAGTTTATCCATTTATCTACTGATGGATTTTGGAGTTTTTTTCCCCAGTATTTGGCTATGACAGATAACTCTTAAAACATTTATGTATAAGTCTTTATATGGACATAAGCTTTTATATCTCTTGGGTAAATAATTACCTAAGAGTAGAATGGCTGAATCTATATGGTAGATTTATGTGTAGCTGTTAAAGAAGTGCCAGATTGCCTTTCAAAGTGGTTGTATAACTGCACAGTCCCATAAATAGTTGCTGGAAATTCTAACACTTGGTAGGATTAACCTTAGTGATTTGGGGCATCTTAATAAGGTATACAGTAGTATTTCATTCTGGTTTTGATGTGTATATCTGTAGTGATGAATAATGCCGGGTATCTTTCATGTTTTCATTTGCCTTCCATGTATCATCTTTGGTGAAATCATTGTGCTCTCCTGTCCCCACAGCTATTCTGTTTTTTACTGTTGAGCTTGATTTAGATCTATCAGATACATACTTTCCAAGAGTTTTCTCTGTGACTTCTCTTAATTTTCTTGTATCTTTTGAAAAGCAGAATTAAAAAAAAATTTTTTTAATAAAGTTTAGTCTTTTTTTCTTTCATAAGTTATATTTTTATTATTGTATCTAAGAAATCATTGCCTGCCAGGTGTAGTGGCGCACACCTGTAGCCCCAGCACCTAGGGGTAGGGGCTGAGGCAGGAGGATTGCTGCAGGTTCGAAGCCAGCATGGGCTACAAAGTGAGTTCAAGGCCACCCTGATCCGCATAGTAAAACCCTGTTACGCCCCCCCGGCCCCGAAAAAAAAAAAAGGAAAGGGAAGGAAAGGAAGAAACACAGGTCATAAAAAGTGTTCACTGTTTGGAAGTTATGCGGTTTTAGGTCAGTGATGGCAAACCTTTTAGAGCTTTCAGTGACACAAATGTCCCACTGTGGCACTTGGGCCATCAGTTTTCCACCGTTTTAGCTTAGTTTAGTTTTGCTTTGCTTTGTTTCCTTTTTTTTTTTTTTTTTTTTTGAGATAGGGTCTCCCCATGTAGTGCAAGCTGACCTTGAACTCCCTTGTGTAGCCCAGGCTGGCCTCAAACTCAGCGGTGATCCTCCTGCCTCAGCCTCCTGAGTGCTGGGATTATAGGTGTGTGCCACCACGCTCGATTAAGAGTAGTTAATTTACTTGACAAAAATCGTATTTTCTTTGTATAGTTATATTTTAGGTATAAAATTGGGCTTCTATGTAAGAACCACTGTGTGCAGTGTAAATTTGGATGATCTGTTTAGAGAAGTGAAGGCTGTTTTCAGTGTTTTTATCACAGCTACTATTGTCCTTCCCCTCTAAGTTCCACTGTCTTGTCTCTTCTTTGTAAAATTAACTTTAAATATCACCTTTGGCACAGTGCTTATACAGACATCAGTAACAAATCATCTAAAATTTTATTTCCTGAGAGCTTATTGTAATTAACTACATCATGATATCATAGGATTCTTCAAAAATCTTAGATGTTATTTATGATATTTTATGCCAGGAAAATAAAAATGTATCTTTGGCAAGTGCCCTTTAAAATTTTTATTATATTTATGATGTCCTTAGGGGATTATTTCCATTCTGTAGTAACCTGTAGCTATTCTTTTAGCAGTCACACTACCACAACAGTGAATGTGCTTAATGCCACTGACGTGTACACTTAAAAATGGTTTAAACCTTACATTTTATTTTAATGCATGCGCGCGCGCACACAGAATGCTGCTTTACAGAGCGCTTAGACATGTGTATAAAGTCCTTGCTTCCCTGTGCCAGTCCCTTACGTATGAGCCCCTCTGTTCCTGTGACCCCGACTATGGAGGTGGAGGAAGCAAGGGCTCCTCCAGGCCCCCAGACCAGCTCCAGACAGCGAGCGGTGTTTGGCCCGTGCCTCAGTTTTCACACGGACGGTGGGACGGTGTAGAGGAAAAGGGAAATGGCATTTGAAAAGTGGGTTCTCAGCAGCTGTGTGAAGCTTTATCCAGTGCTGGGGAGGTAATACAGTGGTACCGTGCTTGTCTACCGTGTACAGGGTCCTGGGCTCAGGCCCAAGTACCATAGAAAGAAAGGGGAAAAAACCCACCATTATCCAGTTCTATCAATTCGTACAGACTCTGGAAAAATAAACTTTATAGAGTTAGCTTGTTGTTGCCAAAATATGTCAGGCTAACCATATGTCCTAATCAGGCTTGGAAAACGATATAGCTAGACTTGTGTTACAGTCTGATGCTATTTTAAATGTATGATTGCAATCTTTTGTGTTTAAAATACTTTCCTGATAACTTTTTTGTTTACTTCCAGTCGGCAGAACCAGTTGAAAGACCAACAGCAGCAGCAGGTGGTGTCCTTATGCCCGGACGATACAGAGTGCCTGACAGTGCCAAGATACAAGCGGGACCTGGTTCAGAAGCTGAAAACCCTGCGGCAAGAACTTTCCCAGCAACAGCCTCAGGCAGGCCACTGCCGCATTGAAGTTTCCAGGGAAGAGATTTTTGAGGTGAACTTCCAAGTCTTATTTTAAAATAGAGGAAAGTTAAGTTTAATGTTTTACTCTCCTTTCCAAGAATACTTTTTTGAAACTCGTGTTTCCTTAGCGTGGGAGCTTCTCGTTAATTTCTGTTTTGACTGTGGGGAGTAGGGCAGTGACATTGGAAAGATGTACTGTGCACAGTAAGCGCTTAAATGGGATGGCAAGTGGAATTGTTCTGATGGGTTCAGTTTTGCTTCTGACTGCAAGTACTTGTCAGTGAAGACCTTACTTTCTAACTCTTCTGAAAGGTAAGAGACTTTTTTTTTAAAGAGGAGAGTTTTTTTTTTTTTTTTTTTTTTTTGGTTTTTCTCCGGTACGGGGAACCGAACTCACGACCTTGCGCTTGCCAGGCAGGCGCTTTGCCGCTGAGCTAAATCCCCAGCCCCTTAAAGAGGAGAGTTTTAATTGAGCTCACCAGGTGAGGGACTCTTAAATAGAAAAGTTATTTTGTCTGATTACTATCAGACTGCTCCCTAAATTTGTTGAAAATCTTTATTTCTGGCATATATTTTTATCTTTGAATTGTAGCCTAATATCAGCTTCCCAGCTGAGTCTCTGGCACACAAGCTGGTGCCAGGAATTTGTGCCTCAGGCACTTACACTTTCACTTGCTGGATCCCTTCAGGGTGATACATCCTTCTGTGCCGGTGCCGCCACCTGGGCTGTGTCTGCTTAGCCCACAGCCACTCAAGGAAACAATACCAGGGATTTTCAGTGCATCCTTGACCATGAGATGGCCTATAGATGGAGCCCAGGGAGCTAGTGCTTGCCTGACGTGTGTGGAGTGGTAGATTCCTTCAGTGGTCCTCCTGAGACAGAAATAAATGAGTACATACATACATAAGATGTATGAATGAATGAATGCGTGAGGGCTGGTAGGTGGGGCCGGGGCCCCCCCGGGAATGTGTGTGTGGCTAGGATCAGCCCATTGCTAGGAGCTGGATCTGCAGACCACAGCAGCGGAATGTGAAAAAAAAGGTCAGTCATTGATATTTTAAAATAATAAAACATTGGCTGTGTAATGAAGATTATATAAATGATTGCTTATATTTTTCAGAACTTTGTTTTTCTTACATTTACTTTTTACTCATACCTGTGACCTAAAATTAAGTCAGCCAACTTTTAGGAATTAGCTACTTGTACCAAATTCTGTTTTTATTATTGGTAGAACCAATAATACTGTGGTTCATAGAACGGAAATACGGAGTTTTTTAATCTAGTAGGCTTTTAATGTATTTATCAAGGGAATTCCTTGAAGTAGGATTAAGCTTGATTCTTTTAGGTTTTTCAGGTTCCACAAACTTTAAAGAATCTGGAATTTATTGATTTGTTGAATACATTTTACTTATTTAAGCTATATTTTAGGGGTAGAACAGGAAGGACAGCTTAAATAATAGGTTAAAACAACCTAATAATGATAGTATTGTATATTTACCTTTCTTTTTCAGGAGTCCTATCGACAGGTCATGAAAATGAGACCAAAAGATCTCTGGAAGCGATTAATGATAAAATTTCGTGGAGAAGAAGGCCTTGACTATGGAGGGGTTGCTAGGTAAAGGCTTGTCAGTTAACCACATAGATCTTTATATTTATAAATTCAAGATACTTTCTGTGGTGTGGCTTTCTCATGGATATTTATTTTGTAGTATAATAATTCCTAATATTTTTAGTACAGAGGAAATTCTAATGGATAGATTCGTGATGAGGTTAGGGTAGTACTGCTACCGGGAGAGTTCCTTAGTACTCCCTAGTGGATTATGTAACCCAGTGAGACTCTGAAATCTAGCTGCAGCACCTGTGCGCAGGCTGTGAGTGGGACTTCAGGCCCTTCCTTTCCACCGTCTCCCTCCTTCAGTGCATGTGACAGTCTCTGCTTTGCACTGTCAGGACGATGGTGAGACTTCCTGTGATACTGTTTTCCCTTTGCTTCCAGTGCTCTGGTTTTTTTTTTTACCTTGCTAATAATGGATTGTCAGACTCTTTAATCCATAATATCAAAACATAATTTAAATAATTTTCCCTGAGAAACGTTGAGAATGGAGATTAGAGCTGTATCTCCTAAATTCTAGACCAGTTTATTTTATTTTGTTTTCACAAAGGTGATTAACAGGTTGTCTTTTATATTTTGATAAATATAAGGAATTTAATAAATCGATGATGTAATGCTGTTTATTGTGAGGTTTATAAAGCGTTGATGTACATTTGAAATAAAGAGGTAATTTGAAACATACCCAGACAATGCAAGCTGACTTTATTGTCCACACCCATGCCAAATGCCTTGGAATCTCTTGACATAATGTGGTATGTTTTAGGGTTTATTTAGTGAAGGTGATAAAATAGGTAATGAAATTTTCTTATTAAAACAATACCAACAAAATACTCCTTTGTCCAAAGTAAATTAAAGCTATATTATATGTCTATGTAAACTAGTACAAACCTGTCCTGATAGGAGTAGACTAGGATAGTCTAGGTGATACGGATCTTCTGAAGTGAAACCACAGTTTTTCTTTTGAGACTGGCTCTTGGTGGTGTAGTCCAGGATAGTTTGAACTCACTCTGTGTCCTAGGCTAGCTTTACTGTGATAAAGCCGCCGCTGAGCGCCACCCAGTGGGCAGCTCATGAATATGTTGCAGTGTGTCGTTACCTGCCTCACTCACTGTGCGACCTCTGGCTCTTCCTCAAAGCTAAAATGACCATGAAAGGACTCTGCCTTGATTGAGAGCATCGAGACAGCCATAGTAACACCAATAAAACATTCAGGGAAGGGGGCTTCCAGAACTGTTTCAGAGAGTGCTGAGAAGGATGGAATAAATGCATTTGAAGCAAGAAGGGGTATTTTGAGAGGGTTTGATAGCAGTGTGTCTTTACTGTAATTCATATTGATTGATTGAGACAGGATCTCACTAGGTAGTTCAGGCTGGCCTTGAACTTGCAGCGATCCTCCTGCCTCAGCCTCCCGAATCCTGGGATTGTAGGTGTGCGTCACCATGCCTGGCTTCTAATACTTTTTTTTTAGTAGTACATGTTTGTAGTATATAGTGTTCATGTTCCTTTTGGAAAGTTGGTACATGGACATAGTACATCTTAATTCTGTCTTTAATCCCCTTTCCCATCCCTCCTCCATCAACTCTTGATCCCTTCCTTTGCATTTGGAATACATACTAATTACATGCCCTACATTGAGTTGATACATGTACATACCACATTTTAATTCCTTTTTTCATCCCCTCCCCTCATCCATCTCTTGATCCCTTCTGCTTTGAGAAAAATCTACCTCCCTACTTACTGTTGCCTCTGTCTCTTTTTTTTTCCTCCTCCTTTTTTTGTCTTTTTGAGACAGGGTCTCGCTGTGCAGTTCAGGCTGGCCTTGAGCTCACTTTGTAGCCCAGACTGGTCTCAAACTTGCAACGATCCTCCTGCCTCAGCCTCCCAAGTGCTGGGATTACAGGCATGCACCACTATGTCCAGCTTTATTTCTCCTTTATTTTGCTCTTTGTTAAAACTTCGGATTTCTCATATAAGAAAAACAATGCAATATTTAATCTGTGTGTCTGATTTATTTCACTTAAATAAGGTTACGATCTCCAGGTGCACACATTTTCCTACAAATGACTCAAGTTTAAGTTTTTTATGGCAGCATACTACTCCTATACTTCACCCTGATTCCAAAACCAGACAAGGATCCAGTCAAGAAAGAGAACTAGAGACCAGTGCCTTTAGAGAACATAGATGCAGAAATCCTCAGAAAGATACTGGCAAACAGAACGTGGTGAATCATCAGAAAGATCGTATGTCATAACCAAGTAGGCTTCATCCCAGGGGTACAAGGATGGTTCTACGTACACAGATCAATAAATGTAATACGTCAGTAAATAGAAGCAAGGGCAGAATTACATGTTCATCTCAATAGGTGCAGAAAAGACCTTTGACAAAATCCAACATCCTTTCATGATAAAAATACTGAAGAAAATAGATACAGGACCTCATCTCAATCTGGTAAAAACCATCGACGACAAACGTACTAAAGACATTTTTAAAATTTAAACATTCACTGTATTTTACAATCACACTTCATAGATAATACTTATATATTGTCTGATGCTAAAGTGTAAGAACTTGCCAAAATCGAGTGAGCAGCGACTTGGGTATAATAAATCACGTTTTCATTTACTGCTTAGGCATGGTAGATTTTTTTCAGTGTGATCTTAGTAACTATAGTTAGTGCTTTATTTTACTTTCTAATTTTTAAAAATGATTTGCTAAGGCTTAGCAAATGAATTAATGGCATATCTTAATAAAAATGTATTGATGGCCAGGTGTGGCAGTGCAGGCCTGCGGTCCCAGCACGCAGGGAAGCTGGGGCAAGAGGAGAGCAAGTTCAGGCCCAGGTGGGCAACTTAGTGAGACCTGGTCTGTAAATAAAAACGGGCTGGGGATGTGGCTCCGTGCAGAGGCTTGCAGGTTCAGTGCACGGTGCCACACCAAAAAAAAAGAAAATTAACAAAAAATTCCTTTTTCACATCTTGTTTTCTAGGGAATGGTTGTATCTGCTGTCGCATGAAATGTTGAATCCATACTACGGCCTATTCCAGTACTCAAGAGATGACATCTACACGTTACAGATCAACCCTGATTCTGCTGTCAATCCAGTATGATGTTTAGTCATTATGATATGGGTCAGATTGGGGCTTCAGCGCTTTTCATTTTTAAACGTCATTGTCGTTTATTACATGAGGGTTTCTTGTCTTGTCATAGTCATACCCTTTGGCTCAGCAACTCCTAGAAAATTTGCTCCAGTAAATGATTATACACTTGTTCAACACTTTGGGCACAAGAATATTTGTTGTTTATAATAGCTTCAATTGAAATCAACACAGTTGTTCATAAGCATGAGGATTAAGTTATAAGACAAATAATATAATTCACTAGGAGCATAGATTCTGGAATTAATTAAAAGGACATTAAATCATAATCCTCATCTCATTATTTACTGGCTTTGTGTCCTTGGGCAAGTTCATTGACTTAAGCCCCAATTTTTTTCTTTCTTTTTTTTGAGACGGTCTCACCAGGTAGGTCAGGTTGGCCTTGAACTCACTATGTAGCCTGGGCTGGCGTTGAACTTCAGGCAGTCCTTTGCCTCAGCCTTCTGAGTGCTGGGGTTACAGGTGTGCACCCCCACATCCAGCTAAGGCTTGGTTTTTATTGCTGATAATATTAAATATAGTTCATGTCTCAGAGAGGAGTCATGACAGTTCAGCAGAACTCTGTATCTTGAATTCTTAGCACAGTGCTATTTCTTGCTTGCTT